GCTTTCCCCTCCTGGCGTGAGGCAGTGTTGGGAGTGCAGCCGCCTGCTCTGGAACTGCAGTTCCGGCGCTTGTCCACCCGGTGGGGTAAATCAGCAGGGCTGGAAGTGTGCACAGACCTGGCGGCAGTAGAGCAGAAAAACACTTGTGGGATGAAAAACAATTTTAATGGAACATCCAATTCATGTAGTTTGTTTTTTGAATAGTTTAGCCAATTCCCAAAATTATCTGTGTTAGTTTGAACTCTTTCCAGCTTAAATTCAAAAATCTTTTCCCAGTTCCCACTTTTTAATTGGTTTTGACTGATTAGGAAAACCCACCCACCCCTAAACATGGCAATATAAAGAGGTGTACCAATTTGAAACTCGCAAGTCAAGGGGGTTGTAAAGTCAGGGATGTGTGTAGCCCTCAGCTGTCTCATTCCTGCTGTGTGCATCTTCCGGGCTTTTGTGGAGGCTGGTGTTGTCAGCCTGTTACAAACAAGTGTTGGAGGAACTTAAAGGATCACCAGCAAAGGTATCAGTAAAAACCAGATTTAATACTAAGCAACAGCATGACAGCTCATTGGGAAGGTTCACGGCTTGCTAGATGATTAAGGCACACAGTGTGGAGTTGTTGCTGGTATTGATGGGGATGGGAGTGGCTGGTCCAGGGAGGGTCAGTGTGGTCAGTCTGGTGTAGATATGTGTTAAAAGAGTGAAAGGAAAAAACCTCTGAGTAGAGCACTTGGTGTTTGTCAGTCTACACCTTTACCTGTGTGTCTGCAGATTTTCTGCCCAGTGTAAGTTCTGCATTTTAAATCTCTAGCACTAAAACTTTTCCATAAGATAAAGGTAAGAAGGGAGATTTCGCCTCAGCCCCTTTGATGTCTTCCCCAGGGTGCTTGTGTTGTGAGAGTAGCTCACCCACAAGATGCATTCTGAGGGAAGAGAGCAGCAAGGCTCAGGCTGAGAAGAGGATGTTGGAATGTTAACAAGAAGCAGAGGGCAAGATTTGGGCTTCCTGTGGCTGCAGGCAGCTCCCCCAGGCCTGCCTTCAGAAGCAGCCTTTTCATCTCGCTGCCCTTCATGCTGCCCTTCAGTGGGACAGCTTCCCAAATAAGGGCTTGCTGACTTTCTGACCAAAATAGCGGCTGCGTGACAAAATGCAGCCCAGAGGAACGTAACCTTAATCCAGGCATCATTGTGTAGCAAGAGACAGGAATTTTGTGAGCTTCCACAGGTGTCAGGTTTGTTGTGTGCTCCCTGCACACATGGTGGTTCTGCAGGGCGCTGCCTGCAGTGACATCAGTGACCACCTAGTGCATTTGCTAACCCTGTGACACCTGTGTTCACAGCTTGCCTCTTTGTACAGCTGTCCCAGCCCTGAAGGGGAAGCTGTGGAGGGGAGTTTGTGCTGACTCTGCCTCCGGGTGGGTCTCCATCCTCTTTCTCTGGCCTTGTGAAATCACGTGAGTTCTGTTGGTGAAGTGAGGTTGGAGATCCTTTTTGGGGGCATTACATATACAGAGCCCAGGAGGGGGGGACCAGCAGCTGTGGCCCACTTGAAACTATTCCTATTACACAGAGCTCTCTCATCTTTGATATTTCAAAACTGCAAAACTCTCATGATGAAATGTTTGGTATCCTGCAGGAAGACAATGAGCTCCAAAGCATCTCAGTGCTTAACAACTGCTGTACATCAGCTTATACATGTCATTCTTGCTGCTGCTGTACGTCATAGTTGCTGCAGATTATTTCTCCCCTTTGCAATTAAGAGGACTCAATATCAAGTTCCAATCTGGCTCCTTTCTCTGCTTTGACTTAAAAAAGAAAAAAGGCAAAGGGCGTGTAACCAAATACCAAATCATCTCATTTGGCAAAGGTGAGCCATTGCTCTGAAAGCCAAGAGCACAGAACAGGGTGGGGGGGTTGAATCAAAGCCCTGCAAAATGCTCTGGTGGCCAAGGTGTTCACAGGGACATGGATGTTCACAGTGATGATAAAAAGGGCTGGACACGTGTTGCTGTGTCCCCCTTTACTGCCTTTCAATAGTGTGGTCAAAAAGAGGCTGCAACAGAACATGAGTTCTTCTTTGCCCAGTTTCGAGGCTGCTGCAGGTGTTTGTACTCCACAGGGGCTTTGGCTTGGTGAAGTGTTTATCTGATGTACCTTAGCTCACGTTACACTGCCCCTGCCCTGCTGGCAGATTTAGGCAGAGGTTTTATTAGGGCAGTGAGTACAAAATTTCATCTGAAATTCCTGCAGTCACTTGGTTCACACAGCAATGTTTTATTGAGGGCTGAGGAGAGGCCTCAAATATGCTGATAAAGCTGCAAACCAGGGCCGGAGTCTAAATCTACGGCAAAGGCAAGCAGATAAATGGCCTGAGAGCTGTGGCAGTGTCTGGTGGCATGGGCTGCTGTCACCTGCCTGCACAACCCCTGTCTCTGCTGGGGAGGTAAGAGCACACAGATCTAGGGACTGGTTTATGGTCTGGTAAATTACTTTTTTGCCTCATTAAAAAGAAAAAAAAAAAAGTTAATTGCTTTTTCTTCCCCAGACAATGTGCACTTGTGTCACATTCCTTAAGTGCTTATGGACACCAGAGGTTCACAACGTGCACTAAAAACTGCAAATTGATTTGGAGCTGTGCAGATCCATGGATTCCTCAGGGTGGTTTTCATTCACTGTTAGCACATCCCCTGTGTGGGGGCTCAGCCAGGCTGCCCCTCCAGGGGGGACTGTTTTTTCAGCCTGCTCACCCACTCACTGGCCTGTCATGTCGTGTTACATTCCTTGTGCAGTTGTTCCTGTGTTTTAGCCAGCAGTGAAATCCACCCACAGCTCCTCACCCTGCAGCATTTGCTGTCTGTCTGGGAGGACAGGCAGTGTGTTAAGGCAGGCCAGCCTGGCAGCACATTTCCCGGCTTCCCAAGCTCTTGTTCTAAGGATGGGGAAAGCCTAAATAGTCCCAGTATATCTGCTTTTCTAGTGGCAAGTTTTGGCTGCTGCAAGACCTTTGTCTTCTCTCTCCAGCCACCACTTTCCCTGCTTTACTCTTGGAGAAGGGTGGGCAGCAGGTGAGGCTGTGGCTTTCTGCTGCCAGTGCCATTGAGCCAAGGGGGAAGAGCCAAGACACAGGGCCAGGGGCTCTTCCCAGCCATCCTTTTCCCTGGGTCACAGCACAGTCCAGGCCACCAGGCTGACTGAAGGGAAGGGGTTAACCTTATTTTCTCTCTTGTTCACCCTCCAGGGAGCCAAAACCTATCAGTAAGCAGTAGAGAATATCTTGGAGAAGTCCTTTTTGGATGCTGGGATTGGCCAAGACAGAGGAGAATAATGATAAGGGGGCTGTCAGTGATGCCTGATGTGCTGTGAGTGCAGGTGTGGGGTGGCCATGGGTGTGGGGACAGCTGGCATCACCTCAGCTCCTGGATGAACCCCAGCTATTTGCAGCTCTGGAGGTTCCCGGGCCTGGGATAAAGCACGAGGACATGCTGTGTTCTCACAGGTGGGAAACAACTGCTCCTGCTACACTTCGGAGGTGGAAAATGTTTCTTTTTCATCTGTAGGCTAGAGATTAGTTGGAAACAGAATCTGTTAACCCCTGGGAGCATTTCCTGTCACAGGTTCTTAGACCCATATTTCCATTGCCTTCTGGTGTAGCTGCAGTCTGCTGAATCTGCAGTAGCTGTGGCATCAAGGGCTTGGAGCCCTTGGGGAGACCCCTTTGAGTGGGTCAAACAGATGTTTGCATTAGAGCTGTGTCCAAAATACCCTAGTTTTCTAGCTGGCAGGTTCATTTTCTTAGTTTTTCTGTTGTTATAAGCCTTGGTTGATCAAAATATTTAATGCTGCTTGTCTTGAGGAAAGACACAATCATGTCCTTGCAAACTATCAACCACCTCTCTCATCCCTGCTTTCCCTGAAATGCAATATTTCATCATTGCTATAAAAGAGATTGTGTCACAGCTGCTTTAGGGTGTTATTTCCACAGAAGCGGGGAAAAATAATCTGTTTTGTGGAGGAAATGCAGAAGGACAACCTGCAGAGCTGGGACACTGGCCCAGCAGCGTGGCCCTGCAGGGCTGAGGGCAGCATGGCCGGGGCTTGCACCAGCTCAGCCCCGTGCTTGCCCTGCCAATGTTTGTTTTGCTTGGGTAAACGATTGACTTTAGCAACACGACTGCAATGTGTGAGTTGTGCTGGGGCTGCCATTCGATGGGAGGAGGCAGCTATGTGCAGGGAGAGCTGCTAATGCCACAGGAATGCTGCGCTTCCTTGGGACGGAGGAGACGGCGCTGGGGACAGCGCGGCTCCTTGGCCCTGCTGTCACCCTGTGCTGGGAGCTGAGACCCACGGTGGGGTGGTGCATTTCCCAGTGACCCAAATCGATGTGATTTGCCAGGGAAAATTGGGTGTCTCATTTGTTTGTAGTGAGGAACCCACCCAGGGCTGCAAGAGGACTATGAGGGGCCAGCACCTGCCTCCCACCAGGCTGAGAGGGACAGGAAGGAGCATCCAGTCCAGCTCAGGAATGGCTTTTATTCATGTTTCCAAAGCAAATTGAGGTCTTCTTTGGGCATTACAGGGTGCCAACCAGGCTGGCAGGGAGGAGGAGGAGGGGGTGTACCCTCAGGATAGCCAGGGTGAGAGTAGGGAGGGGAGGGACTGTCCCTGGCACATGGATTTCAGTGATGGCTGAAGGGGGATTTAATTCAATATTTCATTGCTAAAATGCTGCCAATGCTCCAGTTAAACCAGCAGGCACCAGTGCCAGCTCCCAAGCCTGCTCTCAATGGTGGGGTGAGGAGTTGGAACATGGCAGCTCCCCACTGAGCCCCCATGGCCCTGTTGGATGGACTTTGCATTGGGCTGGCAGCAGAATACCTCTTGGAGGCTTGAAGCTCCAGCTGTGATGTCACCTTGTCAGAAGTAGCCCCCAGCAGTGGTTTCATTAATCATGAGTACACAACGGGTGTGAAGCTGTCACTGAACGTCCAAGGAATGACCAGCTGAGGCACTGGGTATTAACAGGTTTTATTTCCCCCTGGCCACCCTTCTCAGCACTCAGTCTTCATGCTGGTAGCCAGGAGACTTAGTCAAGGAGATGAGAAGCAGAGCTGGAGGGTTTAGGAGATTCAAGCTGTCCATCTGGCCTCAGATTTATTCAACCCCCTTCATAAACTCCAGGAACTCTGCCAAGGGGAAGACATTGGAGACAAGAGGTGTGAGGTGAGACTGAAGTGCCCTCACAGCTGCCAAGTGTGCTCTTGGCAGCTTTTCCCAGCCCTGTCTCCTTTTCCACCCCCACGATGTGCGAGAGGCCAAGGGGGGGATGGCTACTGCTGCTCTGAGTGTAGCGAGGACTCCTTGTGACTCCTGCTGGAAATGTCACCGGAGCCCAGCGTCACCCTCAGCTGCCACCACATGGCCTGGATATAATTTTGTCAGCACCACATTCAAAGACAGAGCCCCTAAGAAATGGTGCTGGTGTTAAGGGGGCACGAGGGGACTGGTGAAAAATGGCAGTGCTTCAGTGCAGCAAGGGGAGAGGTAAGGCAGCCCCAGGTCCTTGTCCCATTTCACAGGAGTAAGAACCCCCCATCCCTGTGCACACATGCTCCTGTCAGATGTACTGCCCAGCACTGCCTGCATGAACTCATCCAAGAAAGCTCAGCCAAGACCAAGGGGCATGACCAAGGGCTTGTGACCAAACCATGGGCAAGGAAGTCCTACCATCATAGTCAATCCTGCCATCGTTGTTTTTATCCCCATCTTTCATCAGTTCCTCTATGTCATCCTCAGTGATGGTCTCTCCTGTTGCCTGCAGCATGATCTTCAGCTCCTCGAGGTCGATGTAGCCATCAGCATTTCTGTGCCAGGACAGAAGAGCTCAGGACCAGGCAGAGCTGCTGGGGAGGGGGGCTGGGCTGGCTGCACCCCTCCCACCACCCCACCTGGCTGTGCTCATGGCTCTTACTTATCAAACATCCTGAAGAGGTCTGAGAGCTCCTCCTCGGTTTTTCCTTTGCTGTCATCCTTCATACACCGGACCATCATAACCAGGAACTCATCGAAGTCCACAGTGCCACTGCCTGAGGGAAGAATGGACATTCTGGGGCCAGCTGGCCAGCACAGGGACCCTGACTGAGCTCCACGCTTCTCCATGAGCAGCTCCACCAGACCGGCCCACCCCCAGCTTCCCCTCACAGCCACATGAATTCAGAACCCCAAAACCTTAAGTGGTGGTGTTAAACCCATTATTGTTAAAGTTAAAAACCAAGACTGCCATCAGACAGTGTCTCTACAAGTCAAACTGGAATAATACACAAGGTCTGATGCCTCAGTCTCTTCTCATACTGGGCTTGAGGAATGCAGGAAAGGGGAGCCCAGCTGGAGCCATCAGCTGGAGCTACAGGGTTGGACGGGCAATGCCAATGAGGAATCACCCTTCCCTTCAGCAACCAAGGGCCAAAACTCAGGAGAGCAGCCCTGCAGCAAGAGCCAACTCTCAGGATGCTGGGGAAACTGACTGAGGCCCTTCTCTGACCTTGTAAGTGAATTTTTACCTTTCACAGTGATTTTGCCTTGGCAAAAGTCCTTCTGGAAGCACCAAAGGATGGAAATTCCTGCTATGGAGATACCTGTCCATCTCATTTAGGTATTAATATTGAAAGCTCCAGAAGGCAGATGTTCATGCAGTGTGCTTTTGCACCTGCACTATAGCAGTGTTGTTTTCAATTACTCAGATGCTTTCCTTTTTTGCCTGATTTTTAACTGTTTCTTTATTTTCTAGTTACTTTGTGTGGTATTTCTGCCCAAATATCCCCTGTGGATTTTGTTATGTGGGATCATCAGCACACTGATTTAATCAGTATTGACAGTTAGTTATGTGGGGGTGTGTACACTTGAGCACTGAGAGACTTTCCTGATCAAATCCTCTAAATGGCATTTCTAAAATGGCAGTCCCTACATTCATCCTATATTCTGTTTTTTAAAGGATCTGTACAATTTCACAGTACCCCCAAAATCAGTTCAAACAGTCTGATCGCTGTAGAAATAAAGATTTCTATAGTTTCCCTTCATCTGGAAATTCCATAAAGGAACCATGCTGAGGTCTGGTGGGTGTTCAGTGTCCTTTGAATTCACAGCAGGTTGCACCCCACAGCTGTGACTGCCCCAGCACGGATCCTGCCAGCACTGCACAGATGGCCCCCACACCCCCAGATGTGTGCTGGGGAGAGCGGAAGAAACCCAAACTTCTCACCATCTTCATCCACCTCATCTATCATCTCCTGCAGCTCCTCGGGGGTGGGGTTCTGCCCCAGCATCCTCATCACCTTCCCCAGCTCCTTGGTGCTGATGCAGCCATCCTCTGCCCCCAGCACGAAGATGTCAAAGGCAGCCTTGAACTCTGGAGAGAGAGGGGAGAGGAGAGGGGAGGTGAGGGGGTCCTGCCCTGCAGCTGGAGCCTGCAGCCAGGGGGCTCATCCCAGGCACAGCCTCTCCTGACTGTGCACCCCAGCAGTGCCCAGGCATGGCCTGGTGGGACAGAAAATCCCTGGGTCATGCCCTGCCTTGGCCAAAGCATTTTGCAGAGCATTCTTGCTGAGGCAGGCAGGGCTGCTGCCTGGGAGCTCCACTTCAGGCTGTGATGTCAGGTTGAAGGTGCACCTACCATTTTTTTGCTCTTCTGTCAGCTGCTCAACCTGTAAGGAAAACACAGACGCCAAGTCATTTTAATTTTGTCAGCATCACAAACTGCTAAAAGGACATGTTGTTTGTTCAACAGCCTTTGCCAGGGTCAACCAAACCTCACAAGAGGCAACCTTGTGGACCAGGGAATGTACAGCCTTTTAATGTACAGCTTTTTAAACAGCAAGATTTTGTAGTCTAAGAGATTCTTCCTTTAAAAAAAATATTCACATCTCCTTTGAAGCAAACATAACTTCTCTAGAGTAGTGGATGCTAACACATGGCAGAAATAGCCTTTGTACAAGCAGGGAAAAGCCCACTGGGAAAAGCCCACAAAGCCCACTGGGAAAAGAATATGCCTCTGCCAACCATTTGGGGATAATTTCTTGTTGTGGCAGGTTTCCCTGCAGGAGGGCTGCCCTGCTGAAGGCTGCTCACATGTGGGCCAGTGCCAGATCAGAGCTGAGACATGCCTGAGATTCCCTGGGGAGGGAGAGGTACACAAGACTATCCCTGGTAGTTGTTTTTCAGGCCTAGATTCAGGAAACTGCTGCCCTATCCAGAGCTTAACTGGTCTGCTTCCATCTCAGCCAGTGTTATTACGAAGGTGTCTGGCTCTGAAGGGAGCTGCTATTATTCCCTTCAGTCTGTTTTGGGAATCTCTCTGAAGGAATGGCCTGTGGAGCCAACAGGCATCAGCTGGCATGGGCTGGCAGGCTGTTCCCAAACTCTGCCCTACTTCAATCCCCACAGACCATCAGTGGGAGCTTATAAGACAGCATGAATTAATGAAGATCATCAATAAGGAGAGCAAGGGGAATCAATCAGCTCTGTGCCATACCTGTTTAAGTGCCTTTCTCTCTATGGCTTCATTCCAGGTACAGCTTAGCTGAACTGGCTGCCCTCACCACCATGTCCAGCTGCCCCTTTGGAAGCATCCATGAGAACATGAACTTTTCCTTCCTGTGCTGGTCCACAGCCTCTCTAGATCCAGCCAGGCAGGACCCCATGCCAGCCCTGTCTGACCCCACTAAAGTCTCCTTGCTGCCCCCAGCACCCAGTTTTGTTTGGGGCAGGACCCCACAAACCAGGGTTGTGTCTTTGAGTGAAAGCTGATTATTTTGCCCCCAAAGGGCGGTGGTTTTGCAAAAGCCAGCTGGTTCTTCCTGCTTGCATCAAGAAGCAGAGAAAGTACTTTTCCTTAGCAGGACAGAGCCTGTGGGAGCAGGCAGAGCTTTTTATCCCACTCCCCTGCTCCAGGAGGTGAGGACTTGGCAGAAAGCTCTAAGGACGGTGGCAGGGTTTTCTCCACTGCTGGAGGAAACCCAAGCCCGGTGTTTCTGGTGCTGCTGAAGGCAGGCAGGCAGGCAGCTGCTGGCCCTCTGTAGACATTTTTTGGGCAGAGCAAGAGCAGCCACCACGACGATGGCCACAGCCAGTCCTGCTCTGTAACACGACACCCCGGCTGCAGTCGCTATTTATAAGCCTGAGTGAGAGAGGTGCTGGAGATAAAGATGAGCTCCCCGATTGTTCCCAGGCTTTGGTATTTATCCTTGCAGCCCTTTATCTGGACACTTGTCCCTGGCACTGTTCTAGGCACCGCTTAACAGAGCCTAAAAATATTCCCAAAATAGCTTTGTGTTTTTACACCCTTATCTAGGCATGAGTGGGTAAGATGAAAATTCATTGGGTTCTCTGGCTGCACGTAGGGGATTTGGCATAAATGTAATATTAATACATGCTATCAGCATGCAGGAAATGTACAACTATTCACTTTTGAAGCCTCCTTCAGTACTGAAGTGATAGATGTGGTACAAATTAAATGCATTGTTGCTATAGAGTGACATTTTTGTCACAGAAATCTATCTTGAGCTGTCCATAGTTCTCTCTGGACATGGGGGCTGTTTGCTGCCTTATTCCTCTTTTCCCTCCATACCATTGCAGGAACAGGTTTTTCTGACTGCAGTGTGGGAAGGCAAGCTCTAAGCTCACAGCACTGCAGTAGCTGTGGTAATGCCAAAAGCAAAATTGTATTTTGCTTTTATCAGCTCCTCTCTCCATCCCAGCTTCTGTTTGAAGTCAGACAGAGGAAACTGAAGTTCTTAATTTTTTTTTCCACAGGTAAATGTTTTCTTTACAGTCTAAATTGTGGTAAACAGACCCACAAAAGAGCTGTCTGTCTCAGCTGTGCCTGGCTTGGACTTGTTTTGCCTCCGTAAAGACATTGGAAGTTAATGCCCAGGACTCAAATCCTACATTTACCTAATTATTGGCCATGTGGTCCCTGTGCCTTGAGTCACAGAGAGCTTATTTAATTAAAAACCTTAATTAGAAAAGCCTGGATTTCCTTTGATTTTACAAGTTCCATTTTTCTCCATTTTGAAGGTGTTGGCTGGGGGACTCAGCCTTTCCTGAACCTTTTCACACTATCAGGATCACCACAGGGGTTCCATTTCCAAGATTCAAGGCTGACCAAAGGACAGGGGATGTGTGAGCATTGAGGTTGTTTTTCCTTCAGTTAGCTACCAAGGACTATATTCCTTCCCTCTAAAAACCTTGGCATAATATTAAGACTGGTATGATGCTTTTTTTGTGGTCTTGCTTAAAATCAGACTTGATCAGTTGTATATTTAAGGGGGGAAAAACATCAAAAAGCTCTTACTGTAAATCTCGTTATGGATGCAATAGCAATCTACACAATCCAGAATCTATTTTCATCCTTATTCTGCTAGCACATCTCTGTCTGACTATGTTACAGAATAATGCAGAGTTCTTATTACAGACCAAATAGTTTGGGTTTACACAGTGAGCGCAGTGTGCAGCTGTGGGAGTTAAAATAGCCAAAGGATGCTCCACGTTCCCCAGGGCATAGCTCACATTCTGGATTCTGCACAGCACAGAGCAGGAGCAGCAGAGCAGAAGGTTTGGAAATAACTGAGAAAAACTCAAGGGTTTTTTAAAATCCCCATGAAAAATGCTCAGCAAAGGGGCAGGGGGAACATAGCAATGGCAGAGTTGTAAAGCACCAGAAAGAAGAGGGTGAGTTTAATCCATACAAATAGTGTTTATTTTTTAGGAAATCCTCCTCTGCTTTGTCTGGAGTAAAACCAAGAGTCATCTCTTATGCCGTGCAGGTTTTATTGAGATTTATAGCTTCACCGAGGAGCCATCTCCCTGCTTTACAGTGGGGAACCAGGGGGTCATTGTGAACAATTTAACAGCAGGTTGAGTGTTTCACACTTGTAAGAGAAGTGCAAAACTTCACTCGCCACGGGAGGGAAGGGTCAGTGTCCTGGGTGAGGATGTTGACTAAAAGCTGCCGCCCTACAATTACACCTCATTTCCATTCCTCCACCGCGTTGTTGCTATCGCGGCTTTGGGCAGCCTACAACAAAACCCCTCAGCTCCATTCCAGCCCGCCCGCATCCCCAGCCCCGGGGACACTCACGGCTGCCTTGTAGATGTCATCCATGGCCGGGCTGTGCGCTGCCTGTGCCGGCGCTGCCCGCGGGCAGGGCTCATATAGGGGCTGGGGCAGCGCGGCCGGCCCGGCCCCCCAGGAATGCCCGGCTGCGTGCCTTGGGACGGACGGGGACACGGCCGGGGCCAGCCCCAGCCCGCTGGAGCTTCCCTCGTGACTTGGTGTGGGATCGCCGCTTTTCAGCGGGACCTGCCGAAATCGCTGATCCTGGCTGGACCCGTGCCACCGTGTCACCTCCGCCGTGTTCCCCCCGGGAGCTGCGTTATACCGTGCCAAAGGGGATTGGGTATTGCAGGAAAGGCGCACGTCCCGAAATATCCCTGCCCAGGGGCGAATGTCCCGCGGGGCAGTGGCAACAGGGGGTGTCAGGGCCCCTCGTCCCCTTGCTGTGTGTCCCCAGATCCACGGTGTCTGGGCAGACTGGGGGGAATGTGCGGCCCCGGTGCACGGAGAGAAGTGTGGAGACACGGGGAGCTTTGCCCCAGCCTCCTGTTTTCAGCTCGGACTGCAAAATGCGGGGATCAGCTATCAAAATGGGGGTGTCAGCTCGGTTTGATTCCAGGGGTAATTGCCCGTCCTCTGGGAAATCAGGACTCGCCTCACCCCGCCAGCGAGATGAGCTGTCCTCTCTGCAAACAGCTCAAATCCACACTCCTGGATTGACTGTGGATTTACCACGGGTTTGCCCTGCCACGGTGGAGAGCAAAACACCCCAAAGGCCTCCAAGTGATGAGCAGCTCTGTCACTGCGGTGAGAGGTGTTTCACTCCACGGCAAGGGAAGCCAAACCTCTCTTTTTAGTGATTCAGGACTCCCTCTTGTGTCCAGAGGGGCTGCAGATGGCTCTGGCACCACAGGGCAGCAAAGTCTCACCTCCAGCTGGCTCATGTCAAAATTAGTTTGCAAAACTAAAAATGCAATTAATGCAACTGTTCGTTTTCATATTTTCTACAAAGAGGAGTCATGCTGCATGGAAAAACCTGCAGTCCCTATGGAATGCCCCAGCCAAAGCAGCATTAAGCAGGGAGCCAGGTGGTGTCAGCACAAAGTGGGGATGCAGGTGAGCACAAAGCCATCCCCACATCACATCCTCCCAGGTTCTGAGTCCTGAAGGATTAACTCACTGCAGAGGCTGATAGGAACTGTGGTCCTGGGGCATCTGCTGGCCTTGATTTGCCCAGGCTTCAGCCCAGCCCTGCCTCTCCTCAGCATAGAGGTAGCAGATGGAATAAAAAGGAAAATTGTTACATTTAAGAAATTGATTTTTGAAGCAGTTAGTCTTCCTAATTTGAATGCATTTAATATTTTGGTTGCCTTTAATCACAGGAAAGTCAGAAAAAGCAGCAGAGGGAAGTAGTTATTTTGTTAAAGGGCATTGGAGCCTGTTCTTAGATGAGGGCACAGGCTGGGATGGGAGACCTGCTGTTCCCCAAGACCAAACCACCACCTAAAACCTCCTGGGCAGCCCCAGAGAGACCTTCCCAAAGAAGTGCTGCCCCGAGGCAAACCCCAGCCCCTGGCTGCTTCTCTGGCCTTGGGATCCTCTGCAGAGACAGTGGGGCGGCAGGTGCCAGCCCTGGCACTACCAGGCATTGGGAGAGGGGCTGAGGAATCACTGCTGGCCCTGTCCCTCATCCTGGAAGGTGATGGCTCTGAGTCACCCTGAAAACAGCCCTGGGATGCGTCAGGATGTATTTAGGGTCAGTGTAGCTCAGGAGGAGCAGCTCCAACATTGCCTTTAAAAGGTCTGCTGGAGGGAGCTGGGGTGAAACTCAGGCTGGGATGTGGAGGAGGGGTCTCTGTGTGCTTAGAGAGGGGAGATGTGGGCCACTGCCACCCCACGCACTGGCATGGGAAAGCTGCACATCTGATGCAGGCAGAGACTTACAAAACAGAGCCGAGCCCAGAGGAGAGGATGAAATCCCATCTGGCAGCAGGAGGGAGGTGATGTTCCTCCCGGGAAGGAGGCGCAGGCGAGTGGCACTGTGCCAACCCCTGCCTCCCTGCCGGCTGCCTGGAGACAAAGCTTCCCGCATCCCCTGCCTCTCCCGAGCTGTTTGACACAAAAGAACTGGGAACTGGGGTCTCGTGGGGAAACCCAGAGCCTCTGCCACGCTCAGCACAGGCGTGGGGTGTTCTGAGGGAGAGCCACCCTCTCCTGCTGCTTGCTGTGCCTCCCCGTGAGCCCCGTGGCACAGAGGAGTGTGGCTATCTATAGCCCGGGCAGGGCTGCCAGCACCAGGGCCCTCGGTCTGGGCACGGCCCAGGCACAGCCTGGCAGCTCCAGCTGCATCCCAACACGCTGGCCCACTTCTCAGCCCCTCCAAGCCACCAGGACAACCGGGAAGCTTTACTGAGCTTTTATCCTCCAAAGCTTCATTTCAGGTTCTCACTTGCAAGCAGCTGTAACCTGCTGCAAAACTGGCAGAGGCATCTGTGACATCAAATGTAAGGAAATAAAAGGCAGAAGCTCAACTAAGGTGTATTTTATTTGAGATTAGGGATGTTTGCAGGGCTCCATTGGCTGTGTCATGGCTCCAAACTGCAGCAAAATGCTCCAGCATTCCCATTCCCTCCTTGGGCACCTGGCCCTGAGAGAGAGCCCGACCCAGCAACAGCAAAATTCTTTCATTTACTGCTTCCTAAAGCCTACTTGGAATATTTTAGCTGAAGGAGCCCCCATTTTCCCCCTTCCCCAGGCACATTGCTCCTCTCTGTGAGCCAGGACAGGGCTGTCACAGCATGAGCCACAGCCATGAGCTGTGCCTGCAGGCAGGAACTGCTTTAGGAGGAGGAGACAGGCACTGATCAAACCCGACAGCCACGCCAGGGCTGCAAATTTTTATTTAATTAAGGAGATGGGACATTCAGAGGAAGCTTAATTAAAGTTGCTCTCCAAACCCACTTATTATCCATGAAGAGGCTGAGCTCAGTGCAGTTCCTGGTGCTGGGACAGCGTTAGAAAATCCCTGTTGGGCTGCCTGTGCTCTCTGTGTTTTGTCCTTGTACACATCATCCTTTGGCTACATCCTGACCAAGGAAAAATATTTTTCAGTGAAAAAAACCCAAAATGGGTTTTCCCATTTCTGTTTGCAGAGGTGTGTTTGCTTATCTGCCACTGCAGTCCTGGTGGCATCTGAGACAGCAGCATTGCCCCTGCAGCTCCACACATCCAGCCAGGGCATTTGCACTTCTGTTGTAATTCCTGACACCACACTGGGCTAATTGCTTCCTCTCTCAGGTAGCACAAGGAAGGGCAGACAGATGTTGCTTTCATTTTGCTGGAAGGTACTTTTTAACAAAATCTCCTTGATTTGACAGTCCAAAACATAATCCTTCTGTGTGTAATGTAGCACAGAGTATATTGCAAAGCCTTGATGGATGCTTGATGCATCCCTCTGCCAAAACATAATCTTTCTAGATAACCTCTCAATTTTAATACACTCAGATACTCCTAAAGAAACTCATTGTATCCTCTCTCCTGCAATTTTCTGTTCCTGGGGTGCACACTGAGCCTGTCAGAAAGGTTGCCACGGTATGACTTCCCCTCAGGGCAACTCAGGTTCAGCTCAGGGGAAAAGCTGAGGAGGGTTTGCTTGCCATCTTTTAGATTCTCCACTTCTGTTACAAATTCCTGGCAAGATCCTTTAGTGTGTGCAGGCTTGAAACACTTCCCCATGCTCAGTGGGACAGTGACAGTAAAGCCCAAGCTGTCAGTGAATCACCCCAAACAACACCCCAAGTTCACTCTGGGCTCGTTCCTGAACTCAGCCCAGCTCCTCAGCTCTGTTTTTGGGGTGGCACCAGGCACAGAACCACTGAGGTGGCACCTCAGCCTGGTGTGACAGTGTCCAAGGCTCCAGCAGCCCTTGGAGGCCACAGATGTGCACCACGGGCTGCCAGCAGCTGGGACAGTGTCACAGCCACAGCGCTGGGAGGGGCTCAGCCCTCGGCAGCTCCGCACTGCAGGGATTGCATCCCCTGGATTGGGCTGGGTTCCATTCGTTGGATTGTACTGGATTGCATTGCACTGCACTGTACTGAACTGGACAGCACTGGATTGCATTGCATTGGATTCTATTCCACTGGATTGCATTGGACTGAATTGGACTGGATTCCATTGGATTGGACTCTATTCCATTGGATTACATTGGATTGGATTCTATCCCATTGCATGGCATTGGACTGGATTCTATTCCATTGGACTGGATTATATTCCATTGGACTGCATTGGATTGTATTCCATTGGATTCCATTGGACTGGATTCTATTCCATCGGATTCTATTCCATTGGACTGCATTGGATTGGATCCTATTCCATTGGATTCCATTGGACTGGATTCTATTCCATTGGATTCTATTCCACTGGACTGCATTGGATTGGATTCTATCCCATTGCATGGCATTGGACTGGATTCCATTGGATTGGATTCTATTCCACTGGACTGCTTTGGATTGGATTCTATTCCATTGGATTCCATTGGATTGGATCCTATTCCACTGGATTCCATTGGAGTGGATCCTATTCCTTTGGATTGGATCCTGTTCCACTGGATTCCATGGGACTGGATCCTATTCCATTGGACTGGATCCTGTTCCACTGGATTCCATGGGACTGGATCCTATTCCATTGGATTGGATCCTATTCCATTGGATCACACCACACCGCACTGCACTGCACGACGCCCCCCAGGCACAGCTAGTACGCATGCGCGACCGGGTAGGCCAGACCCCGCCCCCGCGGGCCATAGCCACGCCCCAACTGCTCAAAGCCCCGCCCCTGTATCTTGCACCTCCCTCCTCGTTCAAGCCCCGCCCCTCTCGCCGGGCCCCGCCCCCATGCCCATAAAGGGGCTCGGGCGGAGCGCGCCGCGCCCTGAGGGGGTCGAGCCAAGATGGCGGCGGCGGCGGTGCGGGCCGGGAGGGCGGCGGGCGCGGGCGGCGGCGGCGGGCGCGGCGGAGCCGTGACGGCCTGAGCGGCCGCGCCCCGGCGCTTCTCCCGGCGACATGGAGGCGGCGGCGGGCGGCGAGGACGGCGAGGAGCCCCCGCGGGAGGCCCGAGTCCTGGGCTCTGAGCTGGTGGAGACGTACACGGTGCGCAGCGGGGAGGCCGGGCGGGACGGGCGGGCGGCGGGGATGGCGCAGCGGGGCCGGGGAGCGGGGCCGGCCGGGCTCGGGGCCGCGCTGCCTCCCGCACCTGCGCCCGGCCGTGCCCGCGCTGAGGACGGAGCGAGGCGTTCGGCACAAGTTTGCGAGGGGCTGCGGGGAAAGGAGCCGCGCCGGAGCGGGGTCCGCCGGGAGAAGCGGCCCCGAGCTCCGCGGAGCCGCGGTCCTCCGGGAGAGGCGGCGGCTCCGCGGGCGAGTGTCGTGTTCTTGCCCGTATATATCTAGGGATGTGCGTGTGTTTATGGAAGATCGCTATCGAGTAAACACAGCTTTCAAAGCTGGACTCAACAAAGCAGAAAATCTTTCCTTCGCGTGGAAGTATCGTAAAAAACCCTCTCTGATCTTATTTCCACAGGCAGTCAGATGATTTAGGATAGACACTTTTATTTTTACCCCACCCAAAAAAAAAAATTGCTGGCAGTGTTTTAATTTTGGGGAAGGAATGAAGCTTTTGATATATAACTTGTTTTTCATCTGGTCGCATTCTACCAAGAGTTAATTGCTCTGTTTTTCAGGAAGAAGCTCATCCTAAAGCAAACCTCAGTATAATTGCAGATAGAAAATGCCTCGAGCACACCACCCTTCAGTTATATAACTAAAAATGTTTTCTCCTCCTGCCTTATTTTAGTGTGATTTGAAAGACCTTTTTTCGGTGGAATGCTCACGAATTACAGGCTTCCTGCTGTGGGAAAGAAAAGGGAACAGGGAGCAATGGTTTAGAAAGACAGTATTTGGAAAGTTGTGTGATGGATACAAGTAATACCTTTTGCTCCTGCCTCTTTAAAGGTATCCAGGGAAAACAGAGCAACAGGAGAGTGGTTTCTGAGTTGTTAATAGGACAGAGCTTTACAGGTGTGGCACATGAAGAGCCCAAGTCCTTCCCAGGTGATGACTACTGGAACACGGTTGTGGGAATGACTTTCAGGTGCTGAGTTGCCATATTTACAGGCAAAAATGCGTGGAGCATTTGGTGAAGGAGTTGACTGCAAGCTTGAAATGAATTTTTGAGAGGAGCCCGAGCTCATTCTCTTAGGTGCATGATGTGTACTCTCAGAACTGGGACCACTGCAGTTGAGGTGTTGCTGGGGTGTGTTAGGATGTGGTTCAGCCCTCAGTGAGGCGAGAGGCACAGTGAGACCTGTGGCTGGGGGCTGGAAACTTCCATGCCAGCTGTGAACCAAGACTCAGTAGTGCTGCTGTTGAGAATTTCCATCAATATTATGCAGTACTAGTGAATGAGAAAATCAGGTGCATTCAGCTGACAAAATGCCAGTGTCATCTGCCCCCTTATCCCCCTGGAAGTTGTGGTGCAGGTTGTGAAAGCAGCTCCTTTGCTGTTCAGCCTGCAAACAAGTGCTGTGGTAGGGCCACCCTTGGGTAACACCCTTAATGCTCTGCATTGGGCTGGAGTTCAGGTGTGTAACTCTGCAGGTGCTGTTCATCTCAGCAGCTGATGGTTGAGGATAGCATTTTAAGCTGCTGCAGCTAAGCCCAAGGGAGTTTATTTTTTCAAGACCAGATTTCTTTCTTTGGTGGTTATGGAATTACCATTCTACTTTAATGCCATTTTTCTTGGGAGCTTTAAAAATACAGTGTATGAAAGACAGGATTTACCAGCATTTGGTCCTACTTTGATTCTCTTGCTGTATTTTTGAAGGCAAGTTGGCACTAAGCTTGTTTGTGTGTAAACCTCCCGAAGCTGTTAGCAGGACTCAGCTTTTATGAGACAGGTCCAGGCCATTAGAAATATGGGAATAGATCTTTAAATGAAAGCAGAAATTTTACAAAATTTGTCACAGGCTGAAAAGTTTTTAAAAAAAAAATAGCATGTGTTTAGTGTTCATAATGAGTTGAGTAGTGCTTTAAGGACATGACAAAGACCTGCACCAGGACAGAGACTGTTAAATGGTGTAAAAGTCAGTCAAATTTGGTAAAGGTAGGAAAGGAACTACAGCTGTAGCAACCTGCATCTTCATCCATTACCATGTGGTCAGGTGGCAGTGATCCTATTTACATCTTTGTTTTTCTTGTGGCATGTGAGCTTCCTGTTGCACTCTGTATTTCAGAGCTGAGTCTCAGCAGAAGGGGACTGTCATGATATCTGTTTGACAGTTGTGGAATCAGATCCTGTAGAATATATCAGGGAGCCCCACAGTTCTGTATAATGCTGAAGGTACTTTCAAAAACTTGATTCTTACAGCATGAAAGGCAAGGTATGGGTAAATCCAGCAGGAAAAAATGGTGCACTGGTTGATGTGTTTTCTGTGAGTTAGTAAGGTGTGAGCATTTCTACAGGGTTCTCCTGGGTCTGCTGGTCCAGCTGATGCTGACTGAAGACTGGTTTTAAGTAGAAGGCCTCAGTGCTTCATTTGTTTCCTGCTATGCATTTGTTTGGCCTAACATTGCCTTCCTGCTTTTCCTGGTTTTTGCAGCTGCTTTTAACATAAATACTAACTTTGATATTTAAGGAAATACTGTTGCTTCCTTGAATGGGTGTAAACACTGCATGATGAGGCAGGAGGAGGAGATGTGGCTGCATCACTGCTCTGGAATTTGGGACCTGCTGGCTGTAGTCACACCTGTGTCCCAGGCTTCCTGTGGAGAGCTCTGTCATTTAAGTGTTGGGTTGTTGTTTGAGTTTTTTACAGTGCTAAGGCATGTGCAGTGGGATGAGACACAATGTAGAAATGCCAGTTCTCCATGTAAAGCAAGGTAGGCAGGTTTTTGTGTATAGGAAGTGAACAAAAAGCACTCTGGAATCACTGTTGTTCATTTAATATCTGCTTTAAAAATGTTTAGTAGGTCTTTCAGCCCTCAGTATTTAAGAAGATGAAGGGATACTGTTTGGTGATGTTTAACTGCAAAGAACTTGTAGAGGCTTGCTAGAAAACAAAAAATATATATAGCATTGCAAATATGTCAAACACTTTACAAAGTAGAATGTAACCAAAAGAACTGATTTATAGAAAGAGGGACAAAACTTTTTATACAGAAAGAAACCAGTGGAGAAGGAAATCCTGTGAACATAAAGGGCTTTATGTTTAACTCAATAGAAGTGCAGTTTGTGGCACTTCTAAGGATGGGTGGGGATTTCACATGGTATATTTATTTATGTCTGCAAGAAAGTGCAGAGTGAGGATGTCATCATCTGTCTGTGTATTCCTTTAGCACTTGGTGTGACAGGCAGCCCTTGGAGAACCTTAACTTCAGCTGTCAGCCTTGTCATATTAGTGCACTCAAAATTTGTTGGTGATGAAGCTCCTAAAGCAGTGAAATATCTAAGGGGATTTTTTGCTTTAAAATGATTTATTTCTATATTAAGACAAGTCTTAATACGCACATCAGCATATTGCATTTATATATTTATTCTTCAAGATAATGGCAGCTTGTGGATTGATGTGAAATCAGGTGCATCATGTGAAACTGATGCTGTTTGGGGGGTGAATGTGTACTGCCTGCTCTCGATGGGAAATGCTACAGCTTTTTAAAGACTTGAGGAATTGTATCAGTGCATGCAAAGACTCACTTTAACAGGTACTTTCCCAACCAAACTGTCCGTTTCACTAAGTGCTGTGTTTCTAGATGTGGTCAGTGCTTGCCATTTCAGCAAAAGGATATTAAACCCTTATTGCAAATTTACTCTGTGTTTTATACAGGGAGGAGGGGTTTGCTTCCTCACCTGGTGAGTTGTCAGTTGGGGCATGTGAAGTTACTGAGTTTCCAGTGTCTAATCTTTGGTTTCATGCCTTGTGTACTCAATGTGCATTGCATTTAGATGTGCTGCTTGCTCTGCCATAGTTTAGCACAGTCAGCTTTTCAAAAGAAGTGATATTTTTATTATGGCTTATAAATGTAGTACTTCTTCACTTCTAAGTTTTGTTTGTTGGAGTTTCTCCTTGCTTTCCTCAGGGTTATGAGGTGCTTTTGAATGCTGGTGTTATTTCTGTTCTGGTTTGTCACCAGCACAGTGATTAATCCTGATCTGCTGTTTCCCAACACAACATGACAGGAAAACAGGCACAGGCCTTAATTGAGTCCATAATTCTGTGTGGGCATTCTTCTGTGTTTTCAGAGCTCATCCCAGCACTGATGTGTCACTCACCACGTGCACCAGTGAGACATCTTGGTTTGGTTCTCTGTGGGGCTTGGGGTTTGTTCAGTGAGCCAGTGTCAGATGCTTACAAAAATAAAACTGGCATGAACTACAGTTCATCTTCTAAAATGCAGGTGGTATTCTATTTAATGTTTGACATTGTGCTGCTCTGTACTTGCAGTAAGTGAAAACTGGTCCTTTATGTAACACATTGAAACTGTTTCTGATTTTTGTTTTCTCATGTGGGTTTAGCAACTAGATGTGTATCATCCTCACAGCAGCTATGAGTCAGCTCTGGGTGATCTGTGGTAGTAAGCAAGTTCTTTACTGTATTAAATGCTTTCAAGATTTGATTACAAGTTGGTGTTTTCCCCAAAGAGTATAGTTGGACTGGATGATATAGTTTATTTAATTTGTTGTATTCAGGTAGCTGTGGAACTGGTTTTGCAGAGCCTTGTTTGTTTTCTGCTTGTGTTTTAGTTTGTACCTTTAAAATGTCTTTGGGATGGCTTGTTTCTGGCATATCTAAAGGCAGGCTGAGTTTCCTGCAAAACCAGTGCTGTTAGAGCCAGAAAGTCACCTAGAATGGAAATCTGTTTGGTACATGCATGGCTAAAAATACTTATTTTTGTATTAGGCAATGCTGGGTTGCATTAGATAATTGTAGTGATTCTTTGGGCTCAGTAACTCTTCAGGAAGATGTCTTGTGTGCTTTACCCCAAAAGGAATAAAATAGCTTCCACCCAACCAAAGGTTTTGTTCTGTTTTCTCAAGGGTTAAGCTCCAGATTTCTGCTTAACTGAAGTGACCGGAGGATGCTTGCCAAGTTCCTCTGCCCATTGTGGAACTTGGTAGATGGAAGAAGGGGATGCTGCTGTCTCAGGCTTGTGGGAGCTATGAGGACCAAGTTCAGTTAGCAGAAACTTTTGGAAAAAGAAGTAGCTTAGAGCCCTTGGTCATTAACCTTTGGGTTAAAGCCATTGCTTCACACTGAGGCATCTGCTTGTTCTTGCTGTGGAGCGCCCTCATGAGTGAGATCAGGCATCCCCCATCAGCAAAGCCCCCTCAGACCTGGGGTTAGCATTTCATTAGCTCTGATTCTTGCAGAATATATACCACCTTACAGTGCTCCATCAATCAGCAGGTCTCACAGTCAGCTTCTCTTAAGTGTTTTGCAGTGTCCTTACTTGAATTTCATACTTTCAGGTGTACATTATTCAGGTCAGTGTTGGCAATCATCAGTGGACAGTCAAACATCGTTACAGTGATTTCCATGACCTGCATGAAAAGGTAAGAATGTTAAAACTGTGACCTTGGTATCTTACAAAACTGTGCAGTTCTGTTTTACATAATTTCTTTCTTCAATAAAGAGAGAATGTCTGCCAGATGCCATCTGAACTGCAGACTAAGTTCTTTTTGTGAGAACATTGTTACTTGCCCCTGTTACACTCCCCTCTTGAACTGGGGGAGGTTGACCGGGACAGCTTCAGCCTTGAGTGGAAGCTGTGTCAGAGAGGAGAGTTCAGGCTGGAGTCACTGAACTTTTTGCTAAGAAGGATGTTTATGATCAGCTGATTTGGTGACCAAAGTCTCATCACAGCGGATAATAAAAATGTCCTTAAAATAGCATGGGATATTTACCAACCAGTGCTGATAAAAAACAAAAATGAGGAAAAGTCTACTTTATTCAAGAGTTTTCTGCTTTCTCAGAAATGCACTGGTTATTTTGTTTTATCACATTTGTTGCATCCTGCCCTGGTGTAGTGAGAGTGATTCTTGGAGCAGACACTGTTATTGCACTCTGATCATTCCATGACAAAATGTTCTGTCTGAAAATGCCTAATACTTTGAAGGCAGTAGCTAAATTTACTGAAGTAATTTTATTTTTGGATCTTCCCAGCATCAGGCAACATGTGCTTAATGTGTTCCATTGGATCTTTTGTACAAGTTCAGATGGCATGTCAGGTATTAGCTGTGGTCTTTGTCTTTCAGCTTGTTTCAGAGAAGAAAATAGATAAAAATCTGTTACCTCCAAAGAAGATCATTGGAAAAAATTCCAAAAGCCTTGTGGAGAAAAGACAAAAGGAACTGGAGATCTACTTGCAAACTCTGCTGCTCAAGTTCCCTGTTACTGCGCCAAAAGTTTTGTCACACTTCCTACACTTTCATTTATATGTAAGTTATGTTTTTAGTGTCTGAATAGAGGCCTGAGTCTCTTTCCCTAATTCTCTGACTTGGAGAGAATTCTGTGGAATCTTCATGAGTTTGCTGAAATAGTTCTTTATCAACATTTTGCACAATATAACAAAGCATATTTTTAAGATTTTTGACACCACTTTTTATTGCAGTAGACACTGTGCTGGGAAGTAGTGTGGGCAGGGACTCTAAGAAGAAAACACAAATGCTGGCAGGAGAGTTGGAAGCTGTGAATAAATGTGAGGCTGAATTGGTTAGGCTGAAGTCAAAAGTGCTGGCTCCCAAATGAACATTGCATAATGGATCCACACCCCCCTACTTAGTGGCTAATGGTTGGAGCTGTGGTTCACACTGGAACAGTTTGCAGTAGCCCAAATGAAGAGAAATGATGCTTCTCTGTGGAAGCACAATGATGGAGTGGCCTTTGGAGAAATAGCTCCAGCAGACAGAATGTTACGGTAAGGATACTTGAAGCAAGAAGCAATTACTTGATTTCATGTTCAGATTGCAATTTGTTCATCTCTTGTGTATAGTTAGGCTTTTTTTGCAATATGGCATCATGTTATAAGGGGGAGAAGGAATTTCATCACAAGGAAAAAGCACTGGAGAACTGAGTGGAAGGAAGGGGCAGTAGCTGCTTTGGGGTGGGCTGTTTTGAGAAGGCCCTTCAGGGTTTCATAGAAAAGCTTCAGAAATTAGTCACAAGTGATCCATTAGGTGTTAATTAAGTTTTAGCAACAAAGGAAAGCCTGGTTTAGTTGTGTTACATGAACATAATTATCCTGGTGAGACCTCAGAGTTTCTTAGATAAAAATAGTAGAAGGTTTATTCCACAGTGTTGCTATTGCCTTGCAGACTTGAGAGAGAAACACAGATTTGTAACTATCAAGCCCTCTGAAATGGATTTGAGGTTTTAAATTTATTCAAAATGTCTGACAATGTAGGGAGAATTCTGTTCAAATAGACCAAAATTCCAGTGATCACCAGCAAATTACATAATTTTTCTGTGCTGTGCTCTATCTTGTAAATGACGTCTGTTTCATTAAAGTTTCAGTGTTGTAACTTCCACATGGTTTTTATGCAAGCAGAGGTTCTTCCTTTCCTCTTATTTCTCAGGACTATTTTTTTCCCACTTTTAATCTTTTTTTGCTCTTCCAAAGAGCAGTATTCTCTTTCTAGCAGTATTTGGATCTGAATGCTTCCCTGTTTCTAAACTGCTCTTGGATATTAAGAGCAAAGATGTTGCTCAATCTGCATTTTTTTGCTTTAGGGGGATTTGACTTAGTTGTAAATGCTAATGTTTTTTGCTTGGAACTTTAGAATAGTTTTAAATATTTACCAAAAATATGTTAATTATTCAGGAGAAAAGTTAAATATTTACCTCAGTAATTCTACTGGAAAAAATTACTTTTCCACTAGAACTTTGATCTTTTAAAATATCTTCATTACCAGACAACCCATGTACATACTGGAGCCATTATAATCCCTGATATTGCCTCATTAATTTATGTAGGAAGGCTGCAATTTTTTGTCTATTCTTTTTTGCAGTATTTCCAGTAAGGATTGTTTAATTTCATTTCCCAGGTAATAGAACTAAATGGAGTTGAAATACCAGCCATTGATACATTAAAGTCACTTTGAAGCCTTTAGTTGTTCTTGGATACAGCCTAGCAAAGAGAAACAGTTGCATGTGACAGCAATGTAGAACTTTATTGTTACTTTGACATTGAAAAGGATTTCTGCAGTGATGTGGGGATGCTTATTTTGTTGCGTGGTCTTTGTCATCTTAGAAGATTGGGTTTGCTAACTTACATATAGAAGGTTTTGCAGGAAAAGCATTGAGTACCCACAAACTGCTGTTCAGAGACACCTGCAAACAATGGACTTCTGTGGGTGTGATGCATTTAAGTAGTTACAGCTAAGACAGAAGTCTCTTGTAGATCTGACAGAGGAATAGAGTTCCTTTTTTTTGCCTGCTAGTCACTGAACAGTCTAAGTCATAATCTTGTTCCAATTATAAATGTAGAAAAAAAATTTTGGCTCTGTGTCCCAGATGACAAAAGAGATACAGAGTAGAGTTTTCAATTAAGTCTGTGCTTGCCAGATGAGTGTAACTGGCTTATTCAAACGCGAATCAGAATTGTTTAATTTTGTTTGGAATACAGCTTTGAGCTTGTTGTTCTCAAAACTATGGCGTGGAGACTTTGGTCCTCCTCAGTGAATGGGGTTTCAGTTGCACTAAGAATGTGATGTTCTAAAATCCTTGCCTCATCAAATGAACTGAGCTGTCTGCTGCAGATGTCCTGTGGACGTATTCCCTTGTTATGAATCATGAGGTATTTGTCAGCACAGCAAACTCATGAAATATTCATGTGGCAATGATCCATAATATCTGTTTATACTTTGCAGCTACCTTAAAATGAGATGTTTGTCTAGGGGAAGCTTCACCCTTACACACAGTTTTACAAACGTTTTGTGGGCCTTTGAAAGGGAGCTGTTGGATGTGCTCAGAACTATTTCTGGACTTGCACAGAGCATTTGCTTTTTGTGGAGAGAGGTGTGCCCAGGTGGGAAATACTTGTACTGATCTTTCTGCACCTGAAGATTCAGAAAGCACAAATCCCTGCACTGAGAGTTTCCAGCCTTTCATGCTGGAGCCATCAGTGCCAGGAATTGAGTTGAGCACCTGGGTGAGTGCAGGAGGGGGAAGAGGGTGATGAGGAGGGGTTTGCATTACTTTGCAGCAAATATAGTAGAGTTGAAGTCCAGAAGACTACTTACTTTTTATATCTCTTTTTTTCTGCAGTCCTGTTAATCTAAAGCATTCTCTGTGGTACTGATATTCTGAGGAAATGTTGAGTGTTTGAGGCATTAGAATAATGCTGAAATTTGAAGACCACTACATTTGTAATATTTTCTTCAAGAACTGTCTTCCAAGTTGGGCTAATGATGGCTAGTAATAACTTGTTCTAGTTGCTGCTGCCCTTTTATTAATGCATGCAGAATGGGATTAATTAAATGTAGTTCACTGTTTTTCATCTTGGAAGTGAAAATCATATGAAATAAAACAATGTCAAGTAATTTTTATGAAGCATTTTCAAGTTACAAACAAATCTATAAAACAGTCGCCCCTGATTTCAGTTAAAAAAATAACAAAACAGTCCTCTGCCACAGCAAAAAAAGGATACTTCATTAAAGGTCCAAATTAAAAAATTTGAACCATAAGTATGCAAATAACACTTATTGCAATGGTTTGTTTTTTTCAGGAGATCAATGGGATCACTGCTGCATTGGCTGAAGAGCTCTTTCACAAAGGTAAGGAGCTTGCAGTCTTTATCCAGGAATGTTTTCCTCTCTGTTCATGCATTCACATATCTTTCATATTTTACCTCCAGACAATGGGAGATCTGGCCTTCCATATTCAACTGATACTTTTTCTCTCCCTGCTTTCCTTTTGTCTTTTCATTGCTGCTTGCACTTCAATTCAAACTGCATTTTGTGAGGAGCTGCAACAGTCTTGCAGCCAAAAAGATACTGTTGGAAAAAGATACTGGTGAATGTATGTTTTGCAAAGGGCCTCTTAGTCTGTGTCCTTAAGAGATAGGATGTGGCAGTGGTGATCAGGAGCTTTTGCTAAGCTCTCTGTCTCAGTGTGTTTTAGTGTCTCAGTGTTCCTGTAAGGAAGCTTGGTCTGTGTCAGTGAGTCCTGACAGTCTGTGTATTAAATGCAAGAGATCACTTTACATATCTAAATATTGTTCTTCCAGAATTCAGGAAACAAGAGACCTTCTGGTCAGCTCATTTAAGGGTGTGCTTTTTTGAGGCTGGCAGATGAAAATTAAATGCTCTTACTGTAACTACAACAGCTCTGGCTGTTCTGTTAACAGCAGGAGGCATGTGAAAGGATTAATCCCTGCTATTTTTGTTTTGAAGGACATGCAAGATGCTACTTTATAATTCCAGTTGGCTGAGGAATGGTAGGCATGATAGGTGAAGCAGGTTTCAGAATGCCTTCCAGATTTTCTGGCAGAAAGTTACCTTTAGGTGAAGCCACCTCAGAGAGTCCATACAGCAAATTCTGGAGTATCTTAGGGAAGCTTGGGAAGAAATGTTTGCTGGCTTTCTAATGCCTGCAGTCTCACTGATACGAGAATTGATGTGTCACTGACTGCTCTGTATTAGTGGAATCTTCAGTAATGTATGTACAGCTGGACTCTTGGACTTGCTCCCACTGAAGCTGAAGGGAATTTTACTCCTCAGAGCATTTCTGAGAACTCTGCTTATCACAAAAGCTGATGCTTTCTTGTCCATGAAGTCGAACTGGTGTCCCTAAAAGGAAGAAAGATATTAATTCCATGTGTGTGTTCCAGCTGCTGTAGCCTACAGCGAGCTAATGGTTGTCTTCAGAGAGGCTTTATATGCTGCTTCCTGCTGTTCCTACTGTTAAATTGGATTGTAAAATTATAATTAGATAAGGCATTTTCTGTTCTGGGTATTTGCTTTGGTACTAGCATGCAGAAAATCCCCATACTTTCAAAAAAACCCACGTTTGCTACAATTCTGTATTTAGGCAGCATGGCAAAAGATCTGAGGTCTGTATTTTAGAAAGCAGGTGCTGTGTTTTCTTAATAGAAAAAAACCAAACTGCTATAAACTTAGATCAGAAAGAGTTTCATAGCACTTACATTATGTAAAGGAACTTTGACTCCAGCCTTGTTAAGACCAAGGGAAATTTACCATTAATTGCATTAGGAACTTTGGACCTGTATCATGAGTGCCCACTTGAATACCTGAATTACTTTGGTGTTAAAAATATTTTGCTACCTCAATTTTCATCTTAGGTATAAATGACAAACATGTATCACTACATTTCCCATGTACCATTTAGTCCTGTGTAAGCCTTGCAGCACTGTGTTTGATCCTAAGCTACTCTTTTTTTCAGGAGAGCAGCTCTTAATGGCTGGAGAAGTGTTCACCATCAGGCCCTTGCAGTTGTATGCTGTCACCCAGCAGCTGCTGCAGGGCAAACCTACCTGTGCTAATGGAGATGCCAAAACAGACCTAGGGCATATTCTGGATTTCACTTGTAGACTCAAGTATCTAAAGGTGAGATCAATTAAATAGGTGTTTATGCTGCCAACTTTCAATCCATGCTGTCCTCTAGCCAAAGTGTTTGCTGTGTGATGTGGTCTTTTCATCAGTGTGGATGCAGCCACAGAATCTTGCTGGGTGCCAGTAGGGATGGGTAAAGAAATAAATATTGACCTCTGCAACCTTGCTTTCTTTGCAAGCACTGTGGGTAGGCCACTGTATGTGAATACATGTGCATTTGTGCATCTATATAAATCTTATCCCCTTTCTCACTGTCTGACTGCATCTGACAGATAAAAATAAAACTCTAAAAAGCTCCTCAGTTTCATAGATGGCCCTGAATTTTTAGCTATTTCAGAATGCTATAAAATGCTATTTCAGAATAAATGTAAAATGGCCTCAGAACAGACAGTTTTTGTCAGGAGACAATTTGACTTTTTTTCCTACCAAATAAATGAATTAGACTTTCCCTAAAGTAATTTTTAACACTGCTTGCTATGACTCAAAAAGTCATTTTAGCCCCTTTATTGCATGAGGAGCTGCCTTTTAACTGTGTCATGTATTCAAAGCTGAAATCAAATGGTGGATCAGGGAAGCCAAACCACAGCTGTGCTGGTGTTCCTGGGGCTCCTCAGTTGCCTTTGTCATCCTCTGTCTGTATAGAATCCTCCAAAGGGAGGATTTTCTGGCTGGAGAAGAGCTTATTGTTTAGCAAAATGGGCATCTGCAGAATTTCTAGCCCTTCTGAATGCTTTTGAGTGGGCACATTCAGAACTTGTAAGATCCATAAAACCAGAGAAAACCCTTTGAGTTTTCTCTCAAAATTCTATTCACAGCAAACATAAATGAAACCACCTGCTTTTTATGCTGCTGACATGCTCTGGGGCCAGAATCCTATGACCATATGGATACCAGATGCATTTTTATTGATGTATCAGTGTAATGCTTGTTTTCTTCAAGCCCATCTTGTTAGTGCCTTGAACTTCACCCCTTGTAGTGGAATTAAAGACAGTGCTGACTTGCAGGGTTCACTGGTTTCAAGGAATTTGTTTTCAGTGAATATAACTCTGATTTTCAGCTAAGAATGCTTGGTCAGCCTTGCTTATGATATTGCTTTTTGCATGCCCCATGTGCTACAGAATGCAAGCACAAGGTGGCACTTCAAGTTCAGTGCACTTAGCTGGAGCAACTAGTATTTGTTTTCCTGAAGAGTTAACCTGCAAATGTCATGAATCATTTAATATTTGAAGAATTGCTTGGAACTTTGGCTGCCTTTCCAAGCCACTGCCCTTGGGCCATTGCCTGTGTGAGACTGGAATGGGAACAAGTTGGATTGTGTGCACTAACTCAGTTCTTTAATGTCTTAAATGCCAGGTCACTGGAACAGGGGGACCTTTTGGAACCAGTAACATTCAGGAGCATCTCTTGCCTTTTGATCTGTCTATTTTCAAATCACTTCATCAAATAGAGGTAGGGCTGAAATACTGCTCATAAATGCATAGGTGCTCTGCAAATGCCAGGCCTGCTTCCTGTATCTCAGAATGGTGATTCTCTGCTTTGATTTGCTGCTGGAATTGGGGAATGCAGAGTTTAGGAGAACTGTTTCATTTGTGAAACAATGATTTTTCACAAGTTTTGGAAATAAGGACACAACATTTAAATAAGAAGACCTTGCACTGTGTGTGTTTCCAAAAAACACAGTTTCCAGTTTTCACACAAAACCTATACCTGAGTGTCTTTCCACTGCCTTAAAGAACTAACAAGTGGTTATGGTAGGATCCCCTATTACAAAGTGCTTTTTGTTTGGAAAAAACAAATATTGTCAAGTATTTGTGAAAATGCCCTGGCATTAAATTTGTTTGTGAAAGTGCCCTTTTGGGCATAGTGCTGCTTGCTTGATAATTTGCAGATGTTTTTCGTTGCTCTGCTTGCAATATAAATACCAGGGTTTCTAGCAGTTTTCAATGAATATTTTTTGAAATACCTTCTTTGACCACTTCAGGTCTTTCCAGAGACAGACTATCCAATTCTGTTACACAGTCTGTACTCTGTGCACTTTTGGTGGACTTTTGCTGTACTTTTTCTAGTACATGAATGCTATTGTCTCATTGATATGAGACAGTTGTTGGTTGAGAACTGAAGAGTATTTCTAAAGTCAGTGATTTATTGTCATTCTCATACAGAAAAGAAAATACAATAGAGTGAGAGAGTGTAACACAGCAGAGAGGATATTGCAGATTTGTATCAATTTTCCCCTTTTCTGTGGGCATGAATGTGAGGAAAAAAGATTTTAGATCTTGAAGACTTTTGAAATGGTATGTTCATGAAAGGTTTTGGATTGACTGGCACTAGATGAACACTTTCATCCCAAAGTAAGCATTGTCCAAAAAGTAACAGTGGTGACCTGGGAAGAATTTTTTCAAGAATGAAAGATTTTTCAATCTCTGTCAGTTCATTGTGGTTTTCCTGGTACACCAGCAAATGTGCCAGCTCTCGTGGTTGCACAATGTGTGTGACTGTCTCAGAGAAGGTCCTGGACAGATGCTGTAGCAGATTTTCAGTAATGTTGTTTCAAATTAAGCTACAGAAAAAGAGACTTTGTAATCTTAAACTTAGTCTGTGTAATTAGCTGACTACAGGTCATTAGATTAGTGTCCTCACATTCTAGGCATTTCTTTTTTCTTATGGTAAAAAGGACATCTGATACCCAAATGAATGTGTCTGCAGGTACAGTCATAGCTTGAAATGGATCTCTTTTAGGTAACAGTAAAAGTGCTATGACTTGTTAAATCACCTGGGTAATTTCATCTTGAATATGGGGATAGGTGGAAAGTCAATGGAGAAGCTTTGTTTAAATATATGTTTGAATTTCACTTTTCTCTAGTTATGTCTCAAATTTCTTGCTTTAGCTTTGCCAAATGTCAGTGTTTCTGACCTGATAATCTCAGGAGATTTTAAGAAGTGCTGCAACTACTTTGCAGATTGCTGTAGAATCTGCTGTTGAAGCTTTCAGCTACCTCCTTTGTGTCTCATTTGTCTGTCCTAACACTTCTGACTTTGTAATGTGATTTTTTTTTTTATAGATCAGTCATTGTGGGGGAAAGCTTATCAAAGGACTGACTTCATCAAAACATGCTCTGGCCACTCTGAGTGTTCGATTTTCAGCAACATCAATGAAGGTAAGAGCAAGTTCCTCCTTCTGGTGAATGTTCAAAGCATGTGCAAAACCAACATGTACAATGGGGAAATACCCATTTAGAGTCCATGGAGTTTTCTGTACTGCCTGTTGCAGATTCTGTTTTCAAAACCATGGAACTGTAAGGGTTTTCTAACCTTACAGAATCTCAAGTTTCAGTGAGGGAAGTGTTTGGATGTGTCCCTTCAAAGGGACACTCTTCATGCTTGCTTACATGGGATTGTTGGCATAGTTTCCAAAACCATTAGCTCTCCCTGAAGAGATGTAAGCCAAATGTTGGTGTCCTTCTCTTAAACAGGAAATCCTGGTGCCTGAGGCCTCTGAGTTTGATCAGTGGGAGCCAGAGGATGCACTGGATTCAAGTTGTCCAGTGACAGCAATTATTCCAACCTGGAGAACTTTAACGACTTTGGATATGAGTCACAATAGCATCTCTGAAATTGATGACTCAGTGGTAAGAAGTATTTTTAAGTTGTGGGGAAGAAGTATGACTTATCTGTAGCACATATACACAGCAAGGATTTTGGATTTGCTCTATTGGTTTTTCTGGAGAATTTTCAGTTGCACTTAGTTGGTTATCTACCCAAGTTAATGCTTAGGAGATTTGTTCTATAAGATCTTCATTTCCTTTGCTAAAGGAGAATAGTTTTGTCATTTTGTGTTCTGTAGGGAAGATTTCCATGAATTCTCACTTTTTGAAACAGGCTTTTACTGTTTGCCTTGGCTGTAGGAGCCAATTAAAATGTATTTTAAAAATTTTCTTTAAAAAAAAAAAAACACCTCATGGCTCAGCTTCGGAGTAGTTATCACAGCTGAAGATTTCTGCATGTTTAAAAATGTATGACTTGCTGGCACCTTTCTTGACATCAAAACAATATGAAAAGCAGGAAAACAAAATCTTAAATATTTTGTCAGTACTTTAGAATTTTGTTTTGTAAATTAGCTATTAAGAAAAAAATTTACATTCATCATGAGAGCATGGTAAAATATGAACATAGCTTTTTACTTGAGCTACTCTTGTGAAGCAGGAAATAATTACATGTGTAGCTCAACCAGACATCATAGACTTGGAGCATAATTATCTTGTTCATGGTTTTTTGTGATGTAGATTTAAGATGCTTCAGTTCTGTGTGCAGGTCTTAACTGGCCTGTCAGTGCAAGTCAATTCTGAGATTACAACCAAAATAAAGCAGATGCAAAACACTGAAGTCAGAATTCAGCATCAAGTTCAAGGTTTGAGACCTCCAAAAGTAAAAGGATTTCTGAGAAAAAATGCATTTTCTACAAGTTTGTGTGACCTTATAGTTCTTGGCTGGTGTAATCAGTAATGGATTTAATCTGGGTTTTGGTACTACTGATGTTTGTGTGTAGCATAAAACCTCTGGTTTATCTGTTTGTTAAGACCAAAGCAGCATTATTGAGTTTGATCTATAGTTAGTGGGGAAAAACTAGGAGAAATTATTTGTCTTCAGTAAGATTAAAACTGAATGGTGCCCCTCAGAGTAACCTGGTTTTCTTAAGAGCAGGAGTCAATTATTTTATGCCCCAGGTCACATAGAACGCTTTCTTGTTTGATCTATAGTTAGTGGGGAAAAACTAGGAGAAATTATTTGTCTTCAGTAAGAAAGATTAAAACTAAATGGTGCCCCTCAGAGTAACCTGGTTTTCTTAAGAGCAGGAGTTAATTCTTTTATGCCCCAAGTCACACAGAATGCCAGAAGCTGGGAAGAGAGACTGCATTGGATAACACCTTCCCATTGCTTTTGCTGGTCAGCAGATACTGAAGGAAGTGTGGTCTGACTTAAAACTAAAGTGCATTTAACACATGTATTTTTTTTTCCCTTCTAGAAATTAATCCCAAAGATTGAGTTCCTGGATTTGAGTCACAATGGGGTGTCTCTGGTGGAAAATTTACAGGTAAGTGATGCATTTGAAGGTGAATTTTTTACCCAGCTGCCTGAGACCTTAGAACACAGATTTTCATGCTTCATAATTTTGTTGCTCGTCTTCATGGAGAGTAGTTTCAGCCCAAATAGCTGCTTCTTTGTAACATCAAGTACTCTTTTAGTGATGCATTTCTTAACTGCTCCTGGATATTTTAATTTCTTTGCCAATATTGACATGCATTTAGTTCCTAACTAAATTCATTCACTGCTGGCTGTATGCCTGGGTTGGTAAAAATGCAGTGGAGGAAATTCCATTTCTACAAGCTTTAACCTTTGTAATGAACAGTTTCAGGTCATGTCTTTCATGATCTGTAGTGTCCAGCATGAAAACACTGTTGCACAATAAAATGAGCCAGTCTTAAGATAGCAGCTTTGTTCAGTTTTAATTGGTGTATAACTTGAATTTTCTGTGCTGTTGCAGCATCTCTACAACCTTGTTCACCTGGACTTATCCTACAACAAACTTACATCACTAGAAGGTGTTCACACAAAACTGGGAAACATCAAAACTCTGAATTTAGCAGGAAATCAGCTGGAAAGGCTGTGTGGTCTTAACAAACTGTACTCATTAGTCAACTTGGATCTGAGCAACAACAAAATAGAACAGGTAACTGTTGACTGTTAGTGTCAAAATGTGTGTTAGATCAGAAGCCATTTCTTTTAGTGGATCGAAATGCAAATAAATAAAAGTGGCTGTAGTGGTTTTTCCTGGTTGTTGTATGTATGTAATCCATGCAAGAAATGCTCAGCCTGTGTGCTCATTTTCATTTTGCCAGTCTGCATTCATGCTTTTATTCTCAAATACTTTCAGATTGATGAAGTAAAAAATATTGGCAACCTGCCATGCTTGGAGAAGGTGATGTTATCCAGCAACCCACTGAGCATCATCCCTGATTACCGCACCAAAGTCCTCGCTCAGTTTGGGGACAGGGCCTCCGAGGTGAGCCCCAGAGCTGCTCTGCTCACCCTCTGTTCTGCCTGGGGAGGGAAGTAGTGCAAATGCTTTGAAAATCTGAGGGGTTTTTACTGGTCATTTTACTGGGAGAAGGTGTTTAGAGAGTGAAACCTTATCAATGTTACTCGGCTGTGCTCCTGGATGTAAATGAGATTTTACCCTGCCCTCACTGGGTAACAAACTGTTAATATTGAAACACTGTTCTGCTGGAATGGTGTTAAACTTACCAAAGGTCGCTGAGTTTGCATTAAAGTGATGTTAGCTCAAGGTCTAATGTGGTAATTGTTTCTTTATAATGGTTACAAAGATGCACATGGTTTGCATTGAGCTGTGGTAATTTATGATTGTTCCATTAATAAAAATTGGACAATGCCTAGGTTTCAATGCTTTAAATATTTTAACTTATTTTTTTAGGTTTGTTTGGATAACATTGTTACCACAGAAAAGGAACTAGACACAGTAGAAGTGTTAAAAGCTATTCAAAAAGCAAAGGAGGTGAAATACAAACTCAGCAACTCTGAGAAAAAGGTGAGTGTGGTGCTGTGAGAGAAATATAATGTGCAGCTTACAAAAGCTTACAAAATTACTTCTACAAGTTAAATTTACACAGAATACACTAAATTTTCCTTAGGATTAAAATTTTTATGCTTTGTGTTTTAATGTGATATGAACTTTTAATGTTGCCTCTTTTACCTATTTAGTTTTCAATGCGTTTTTGGTAGTTATTTGACCTTCTATTTGTGGGCTGGCTTGGGAGAGAGGAAGTGGGAGGAAAAGATAAAATGACTTAATGGTGTACACAGTGAATTCACAGTTGGCCTTAACAGCCATATTTTCTGTCTTCTACAAGTATTGCAGAGCTGTGATTTTACTGCTTGCATTGCAGAGTACTGAAATTACTTCCCCAAACTTTCTTCCTGTGGGTATTCAGCAGTGAGAGAGAATCAGAAATCTGAATTCTCCTTGCCTTCCCTCATACCTGGCTGTGTGCTGTGTAGTTGGTTAGTCTTGGTTTGGAAATCAACATAGGCACAGAAGAGGTTCTGTCCCTACAATGTAGAAATCCTGGTGTCATTCTTTTGACTTGTGACACTGCCAATTCTGTCAATACAGTGATTAGTCAGTGGTCAGAATGACTTCTCTAAAATAATTCTTAGTGGAATTCCACCTAGTGTGAAAATTGAGACTTAGAGGATGTGACCACCTCCACCACTTAAAAAAAAAAAAAAAAAGCTGGCACTAACTTTCCCTTTACTAAAATTGAGAAATCTTGTGTGGACTTACTTTAGTTCAGGATCTCATGTGTCCTGTGTATTTAGTTTTTTTCTTTAATTGCTGCGTACTTTCTTTATTAGATCAGTGAGGACTCCAGGCTCACTGCTGCCAGCTCCAAATCAAACTGTTCTTCTCTTACTGTTCGTCCTTCCTCTCCCTCTCTGCCTCGTCCTGTCAGCTCCAGCCAAGGTAATCATGTATGTATCGTGCTGCTGGGCTGAGCCTCTTGGTTCTGCTTTTCTAAGCTGCATTGATATACATGAATATTATGTGCATGGATTTAGGGCTTTCAAAAGAAGCACAAGACATGGTAGAATTGGCTTTGAAAGTGAAAGTTGTATGGAATGTGACTCAGCAAAACTGGCCTGTAGTTCCCAGTAGTGGTTAAGTACCTGGAGTCAGAGTTTGGGTGCAGGACTTTTTACTGCATCATCCTGCAGAGGACTAGATATTATTTCCAGGTTTAGAGTCATGCCTTAATGGTAAACTGTGGCATAGAGAGAAATATTTTAAAATTGCTTCATTACCTATTCTTGGTCTGCAAAATGTGAGCTCAAGCAGCATATGTTCCATTAGTACTTTTTGCAAGAACTGCACTTCTGTCACACCAGGGGGAAGATAGAGAAAGGAGATGAGTAAAAGACACCTGTGGGATTAGTGTTCTGGCTGAGCTGGTGATTTCAGCACATCTGTTGTGCTCTGTAGTACCTGCTGATCTCACCTCAAGTTTTTTTACTCTGTGTTTCAAATGAATGTGCCTGCTGCATTAGGAACTTAGAAGAATGACTTAACTTTCCTCTTTAGCCCATGGACTGACTTATGTGAATATTCACTTGTGACTGAGAAAAAGAGATAAAAATACTTGCTGGTTTTGGCTTTTGTCTGACTGAAAAGTGCAGTAGAATATGCATAGTGAGAGAATACTTGGTGCCCATCTAAAAGAGCAGGGATTGTCTTCTCAATTTCTTGGGGTGGCACAGCTTCCTCTTGCCATTAATCAGTGGATTGGTGGATAGGGGAGAGAAGCACCCCTGAGGAGCTTGATCTTTGGAAAAAGTCCATTGCTGTGACTTCTACAGAATCAGCAGAGGTTTCTTACTTCACTCTAGAAAAATGAAACTGTTTTGACAGCATTTGATTAAGGGGCAGACACCTTAATACAGATTCAGTTGCTTTTTATGTGCTTTGCCTTTGTAGCCCTTCTAGATCATTTTTCATCTGCAGAAAAAAAAGTCATTTTTTCCAGCATCAAGTAAATGTGTGCTTTAAAATATTAAGCACTTGACAAACTGTCTGAGTCCTGTAACTATGTAACAACCTGCAGTTTTATATTGGACTTGCTGTAAAAATGTATGTCAGCAACCCCTGGGACTGTTTAAATTATTTTTCAATCGATATTGTATGCTATAATAAATGTTTAGGAGGAAACAAATCTTGGGAGAAGAAAAAATATAGATCTTTCTAAAGGACTTGGGAGTTCTATAGAGTGGTATTTCCTGTAGTCCTTTTCCATAAGATTCCTTCAGTAGAATTTTGGGGAAGGCTTTTATAAATAATGGGAAAATAAGGACTGTGCAGGTTGTTTCTCAACTTTGGCAATAAAAATTTATTATTTGCTACATATCTAGCTATGAAGGGTTGTTTTCAAAATACCAGTTTTGAGAAATCTCTTTTAAAGAAAATGGAAATCTGCTAAGCAATTTGTTTCACTGTTAGACCTTAAGTCATTAATAATGGAATTAATTTCCTGATGTGCTGTTTCTATGAATTGTTTTCTCTGCATTTTCTAGACACCATCTGTTTCCGTAACATATTATTCATACTTAATGTCACTGGGAAATGGCTTATGGAAAAAGATTAAATATTTATATAGGAAACAGAAAATCAAAAATAATGCTGTCATGTTCTGGTTTTCCTGTCAATTTGAGTTTCCTTCTTGCTAACACAGTATTTTGTTCAAGTAATAAATACCTCTTGTGTTTCCTCTGACCATGAGATGTCTTGGGATAATCTGCTGAACTTTACCATCAATCCAGAAAGATACACACAGGTTTTTTATGCTCGAGCCAGAAACAAGTCCACACTGTAATTTTGTTGATTATTTTCATGTTTAAATACTTGAGCTGGCTGGCTCAGTGGCAATACTAAAAATCTATTTGCTCTGTTGTGTCAGTTCGATGCTGTGAATATCAAAAAGTCAAGCACCCCTGAGAATGTTGCCTTGTATTCACTCATGATTAAGTTTTTACTGATGATTCAGCTTTGAACCCTTGAAAAAGGTTCCAAATAAGGTGAGATAATATCTTAAGAGGCATTTAAGAGATCAGAGCTTCTAAGTCTTTTTAATTAAACTAATATTCTACTTGCTTTTTTGTCCTGGCTGTTGCGTGAAGATCCTCTAGCTTTAATGATTTACGATTAGATCTTGTTGATACAGTTTTAATTGCACCTGATTGGCAGATACTATTAGACATTTATTTTGCTTTACTTCAGTGATTTAAAGAGCTGTTTATATTTGTTCTAGAAATAATTTGTGAAGAAACAGTCCTAGCCAGCAGTTTTTTGCAACCCAGTGGTTCGACTCCTACAGACCATACAGTTCCCCAGAGATGCTTTGAAATACCAGACTCCAGATGTAAAATTCAGGTAATTGCCACACTTCTGTTTGTATTATAGTATTTTCAAAAGCTTTTGCAAACTTGCCTCTGATGTTAAACTTAGATTATCATAGTAATCCATAGCAAGGGTTTTTTTTTGTTCTCAGAGCTATTTTAGTGGAAAAGGAGGCAGCCCAAATTTGATTCAAGGGTGTTTGGTCCAGCTTACAAATTAAATGCAAAATTCAAGTTTACCAGAGAAGCATTGCCACTATGGCTTTGAGATGTTTACCCAGTACTAGTAAAACATCATTTAGTAGCCATTTAATGCTGAGTGTAAGAATTGTGTCTTATATTACAGTATCAGTTTTTGAAAGGTGATTCTCTTGCTGGTAGAGCAGAAGAATCTTCTCCCTGTCGATAGGCAATGGCCTTAATTTGTCTTCTTCTGTCTCCTCCAGTCTGATAACTTCTGGTTTGTGATTTCATTTGTGGTATTGGAAGCACTCTTCATATGCATGGCTTCAGGGAATGAGACAGTAAGACTTGGTGTCTCTTCCTTTGCTGCCTGTGTAGTTGGTCTTTGTCAGGTTCTCTTAGTGTTTGGCTTCAAGTTACACTAATTCAGTAAAAGCTTGTAGAGTGCTGAAATGCCTGGGTCACAGGTTGGATCTGTTCTCAGGTCAGCAGCAGAATTCATTCTTCTTCTGCCTTAATTGAATGCCCAACCTAAAGCAAACAGTATTTTTGGGTCCTCAAAGGATGGCTGTTAAGCTCCCTGTGAAAACAGCAGGACTTGGCCAGCTTTAAAAATCATGAGCCAGCATTAACTTTGCTTCTCATGTGTGCTGAGCTCTTAAGTAGTTTACAGCTTCCTGATGTTACTTTCTTCTCCTTAGGCACCTGCTTCTTTATTGGATTCATGCAAAGAGTATGGTGGTGGTCATCATGTGTGGTAAGCTACGTAAATAAATTCTCATTTAAACCCTTGTTAGCTTTTGGGTAATAATAGTGGATACTGTTTTCTTAAACACAGCCTTTAAGGCAAAACACTCTCTTTCATTGTATTCTGCCTCTGGCTTTTTGAACCGAAAATATGTTTTTAACCTTTGAACCCTGGAATGCAGCTGGTGGTTTCAAAGCCAGCAATAGCTGTATTGTCTAGTCCTTTAGCTTGTGGGGTTGTGCTTACTGGGGATGGGAAAGGAAAGAGGAGTTAAACATTTTAATTTTTACTTTCTATAGCATTATACACTCCCAGCCTTTAAAAGCAATGGCTGTGCAGTACAAAGATGTTCTACAAAATTACACTGATTTAACTGTATTAGCAAGAGCAAATATCAAAGTTCTGAGAAACAGCACCATGAATTGTAGGTAGTCATAACTGTTTTTAAACTCAAGTTTGTACTTACTGTGGCTTCTTCTCTCTTTTGAAGTTTGGAGGGAGAACACTGTGCAGTGCCTGACCCCTGTAACACCATCATCTTGCCTTTTAACTGTATGTCCTACACTGCCACCAACCAAGACTTTGTCCAGCACCTTTCTGCCTCGATAGTGCAGGCTGTGCAGAAATCTGCCCCCTCCCTCCCAGAGAATAAAGGAAGCCCTGTGGATAATTCCACAACCACAGACAAAGCAGATGGATATTTTGAAATGGGACTTCATGAAGGAGATCAAACTTTTGAGTTCAGCACTACTTTGGATGTTCAATCATCTGACAACATAGCAGTGGAGAGTGTTGACATAGTCAAAATTCTCTGGAGCTTTTCAATTCACATTCATAAAGGACTCAGACAGTTTGCTTCCTGTTTGGTTTTGACTGATGAGATGCTAGCTGTGTTTGAGATTCCTCATCAGGAACTGAGAGGAAATTGCCAGCACATCCCTTCTGCCTTGAAATTAATGCTGTGTTTTCCCTACACTGATCTAATAGAATTTGGCTTTCTCCTGCCAGAAATCTGTTTAACTCTGAAGCTGAAAAACAGTGACCACTGCCTGTTTATTGTTTCAGACTCCCAAAATCTTCAAGACTTTTATTCCTGTTTACAAACGTGTTGCTCTCAACACTACACATCAGTGTTACCAAGCTCCACATGGTACTGTAGAAAAGCAAATCTCCAAGAATTTCTCTGTCAGCTTATGGAATTGAATTGCATTTCAGCCGAAGATGTTGAAATAAAAGGTTGTTTCCCAACATATCTTGTTTATGGGAATAAAACCAATGTGCAGAAAGTCTTGCATCAACCAGAGTCAGCTGGCAATAACAAGGAATGGTCAAAGAATGTTTTGTGTTCTGCACTTTATTCTTCAGTATATAAATCTTCTGACCAGAGTTCCTGTGTGGTCCATCCATGTTGGATATTTCTAACACCCCAGCATTTGTACATAGTGAAGGTGGATTTCAGTTTACTGCCAGGTAAATGGGTAGGCACAGAGGAGCTGGGAAGTGTATTTAAGCTGACTAGAATTCCATTGGCATCACTTGTGCTGCATCCAGCTCACGGTGCCACGCAGCAGAAGGGTTCATTTTTGGATGGACACGTGCTGGAGTTGCTTGTTGGATACAGATTTGTTACAGCAGTGTTTGTTCTACCTCATGAGAAATTCCACTTTCTAAGAATCTACAGCCTTCTAAGGACACTGCTCCAGGATGTTAAGACTATTATTATTTTCAAAGCTTCAAGCAAATTGGATGCTGTAAGAAATCATGCTGTGGAGGCAAACAGACACGGTCAGGCAGCCAGGTGAGGATTCCTGTGAAAGCTCTCTAGCACAGTGCTTGATGTGGCCAGACCTCTGTGTTTGCTGCTGTCAGTGTGCGAAATACTTCTGCATTGTGCTAGTCTGGTGTAAGTGTGAATGGTTATCCTGGATGTTAGCAGTCCACCTTTTTTTTCCTGCTTTGTTGCTGCAACATAAAATGTAATTTCTGATGGAAGAAAACTTCCTATTTCGTGTGCCTGCAGGCTGAGGTCATAGCAGGTTGACAGCTATGGTCAAGATATAAATAATTTAAACTATTAAAATGGAAGTTACCTGGTTTTAATTGTTGAATGAAATACAAATATTTTTGAAGGGAAAATGCTGTGTAGATCTTTACATTTTGATTATTTGTGTTCTGGATCTTTTCTAGTTTTTGCAAGCCTCATCTGACATTGTCATCCTTATACCCATCTGAGCTTCTTATGCAGAAGATAACAGAAGACAACCAGATTCCTGTTCACCTTCATGTTTCTGTGTCTCTGCAGTATGTGGCTGGGCTGCAGGGAAGAGCCCTTGTTGAATTTTTCCATAGCAACATTGCAGAGGTATTATGTCTATATCAAGTGTACAAAAACATGCTTTGTGACCTTTCTGTGTACTGCACAGTATCTATAAAAACTTTCCTGATTGAATTTAGCCACAAGAATTAGGCTCTGGGAAACCTGAAAGCATTTTGATCAAGAATCTGTGTGTTATTCCATTTTGGGATCCCTGCTACAGCACTTGGGATCTTGCAAGGCATATTTTGCCTTCAGGATCTGTGGTGCTGAACAGGAGAGTACACTGGTGTATGTCTTGAAGATGTGATTGCTCCAAGAATTTTCCTCTATTTTCTTTAAAGTGGGAAAAGGAAATAAAGTAACAGGAATGAAATTATTTGGGGAGGGTTCCTAGCTAAATCAACAAATAAGTGTTATGACTTGTTTTTGTGGTACTGTGCAGGACTGCAGCACCATGTGCATGGCTGCAGGTGCTCCAGAAACATGAACAGATAAACCTGATTTCTGAAAAACATTTAAGTGTATCTGGGGAACATCAGATTGAAAAGTAAAAATATTACCCAAAATTTGTGATGTAGCTTTTTGAGTGATAAATCACTGTGATCTGAGTACAAATGTCAATTGAAAAACTTGAGAAATAGATACATTTTTCTTATTCCCTTACCTCTCTTCCAAATATTTTAAGTAAGCACAGTTACAAGCTGTGCTTCTCTTTTTATATCAGCAGAAGCTGGTAAAAAAAGCAGGTGACTCATTGAAAGGTTCACAGTAAGCCCATCAAGTTAGAAGCTGGGAAGATGCTGAGTTGGAGCAGCAGCTGCAGTGGCAAGCTGTGCTCCTGTCCTCTCTCCAGGGTCTTTGATTCCAACCCTCAGAACACCTAAAGGCTCAGCAGACTTGAGGTTTGGGAGGCCACTGCTCAGCTGGTGATTAAAGTTTTGCCTGCAGTGTCTGCCCTAAAAAGTCTTTCTTATAAATGAGATGTTTTTCTGTATTTTTTTCTAATTTTGGTCAGAAAACAAGGAATAATTTGCTTATAACAAAAATAATTTTCTGATATAAACACAAGATATTTTCAATGTGGCATCATTTAGCAGCTTTGAGGTGAACTACCTCTCTTTGACCAGAGCATGTTCAGGTGCTTAAGATTCTGAAGTTGTTTCTCTGGGGGACTAAAGTTGCCTCTAAGGGGATGAAACTGTCTGAAATATCAAAGTTGATGTGTTTATGAAATACAATTTATATCTTAGGTGGAAAATGAGGAGCTGAGACACCTCATGTGGTCTTCAGTTCTGTTTTACAAGACTCCCAGTGTGGAAGTGATGGCTTGTGTGCTTCTCTCAACAAAAGCTATTTACTTTCTGTTGGATGATTCTTTCATTCATGCAGATGAGCACCAGTCAGGTAAAATAGTTACTTGGATCCTTTAATCATGTTACCAGTTTAATCTCTCTCTGTGTTTGTCCTCAGTCTAAGAACCAATTTTGGTCAATATTTTTAATTAGAGCTCCTAGTTGAAGGGGTCAGTATTTGCATAAGGCTTTTATGTTCAAAAAAACAGGATCTTGAGTCATATCTGCTTCTCAGACCCTTTTAGCTGCCATGGGATCCATGTTTTTCTCTGTTACTTCATAGTCCCTCTCATAATGAAAATGGAAAGTGAAAGGTAATGAACCTCATGAGGGTTATTCAGTTAAAGTGTGTTATTAGTGCATGTGCTGATTTAAATCTGGTGTGTGACAAGTGTTTATAAAAATGCTCCTAATAAAAATGGCTTGTATTTTGCTTGAGAAATTTTTAGCCACTGTATTCAGTTTTTTCTTAATTTCTTTCTTCAAGTGTGAGATAAGTGTTAGATTGTAATATAAAAATTATGCTTATGGACAGAACACTCTTTTTCTTTCTACCTTTTAATCATGTATACTTCTTTAACAGATTTTTGGAACAAAGAAAACTCAGATTGTGAAAACAGTACTTTCCACCTCTCTTGCTGCTTTGTGCTAAAACTCAATGACCTGCAGTCAGTAAATGTTGGCCTGTTTGACCAATACTTCCGAATTACTGGTGAGTACATCTTGTGCTTTGAGCTTTTCCAGTTCTATTTTCTTCTAATCTTTTTTGGATGGATCTGTGTCTTTATTAGTGAGATGGAAGAGAGGTTTTATGTTGCTTCTTTTTCTTGAGTTCCTAAAGCAAGATTTGAATCATAAGTATACATTGTATTTTAAATGAAGAGAAAATATGCATTTTTTGGGGGATTTGTAAGGATTCTGTTGTTGTTTTCAAGAATTTGAAAGATTTCTGAATAATGATACATTATTTTCAGGAGAAATAATCCTTAAAATAAAATCTTTTCTGATGCCAGTTGCATGTTGTTTCAAGAAATGGTAATGCCACAGTGAGTGAATTATGTTCTGTGCTCTCCTCAGGACATTCTGCAGATCACATTGTCACCTGCCTGACAAGGGACAGTTACAACACTCACACCTTCATACAGCAGCTTATGGCAGTCCTGTCACTGCTTGCACGCACTCCTTCACCTGAACCAGTAGACAAGGACTTCTACTCTGAATTTGGGAGTAAAAACACAGGTGAGAGGTCTTTTCTACATGTCATTATTTATTTAGGCATCATACTTCACCTAAACTGTACTGATTAAAAAATCTTTTGAGGAACATTTATGCAGCAGTCATTTCCTATTTGATACTTCAACTGAACTCCCTGACTTTAATTATCTTAGATGTGCCTTATATGAGCAGGATTGTTACATATATGTAAGAGTTTGTAAGAGTTTTGCACAAGTGAAGTTAGTGATGGCTTCTTGCTTTCACCCTGGACTTACATGGTTAGAAATTTGCAGAGAAGTGTGGTGGTAATGCAAGAAAGGCTCCAGCAGAGACCTGCAGTCCAAATAAAATTATTCCAATGTTGTTTATAAGCAAAAGCATGTATCAGTAGATACAAAACTTAAATTCTTCCAGCTACAGCCAGCTGTCAAGGGTTGTTGTTTATCCTAGTATATTAAGAAAGTATTGTATAGCACTAAAAAGAGATATAATAATGTATGTTTCTTGCAGGAAAAATGGAGAATTATGAACTGATTCACTCTAGCAGAGTAAAATTTATTTATCCAAATGAAGAGGAAATTGGGGACCTTGCTTTTCTAGTGGCAGAGAAGATGGATGGCTTGACCAATCTTCCATCCCTCAACATCCTTCTGTATGTGTTGGCATTTCAAGTAAATCACTTTGAAGGATCTGCTCAGAACACTAGTTCACTTCAACCTAAAACACTGATATTGACCAGCTCTGATTTGTTCCTCTTTGATGAAGATTATATCAGTTACCCACTACCTGAATTTGCTAAGGAGCCACCAAAGAGAGACAAGTACCAGCTTGCAGATGGAAGACGAATCCGGGATTTAGATAGAGTGCTCATGGGCTATCAGACATACCCACAGGCCCTTACATTTGTGTTTGATGATGTTCAGAATCAGGACCTGATGCAGAATTTAACACTGGATCACTTTGGAGAAGCTGATAGTGTTCCCAAAGGAATTTCCAAACCAGAGGGCAGCAGGAGCACAGAGATCCAGTGGTACATTTTTATCCCAAGTGCAGAAAGCAGGGAGAAATTAATTTCATTGCTTGCAAGACAGTGGGAGATCCTGTGTGGTAGGGAATTGCCTTTGGAACTCACTGGGTAATTACTGCACAGCCAAGTGATTTCAGTGTGTGTTACAAGGTGAAGCACAGTGAGTAAGCAGATAGCACCTGTCAAGTTCTCTTTGTTTTCATGAGGAGCTGGCCTGGACTCCTTTGCTCCCTGGTGCAGTGAAGGTGTAATAAATAGTACATAGAAATATCCTGAAGTGTTAACTGGGGACTGACCTTCTTGTACAGTCTATTTTTATGCAATAGTATATAGTGAAAAAAACCCACATGAGACATCCTGGGAAACTGTATGGAAAATTTAAGGAGTCAACACTAGATATTCTGTCGTCTGGGGCTGTTAAGGTTTCCACTATTTTTCTGTATATATCAGTCTTGCTGTTCTATACAAATTCTAATGTGTAAATAAGGGTAAATGCTTGTGTATGTTCAAGTGCAATGTTCTTTGTACAAGAAGTATTTTGGGTATGCTGCTAATGCTTATTATTTAATGATCTTACAATTTTACATATGTTTTTCTTTGAGGCCAAGTGTAAAATTATTTGCTGCCAATCATTAACTTAACAGTAAAATTTGAGCCACAAGCAGGTAACAAATTTTCATATGAAACTATTTTCACTGGCATTCATTTTCCTTATCCAAGGATAAAAGAATTGCTTGGTAAAGATCCCCTCAGTATTGTCTTGAAAGTGGAAATACCCAATGTGGTATATCAGCATTTTGTCAGCAAATAATGGATTTGTATCTCTGAACACAAAGTCTTTCTTTTGCCTCTCTTGTCAATACAAATAAAGTGTAATTTGACAGTTTTCTTTTGGCCTTGTCTTTATTCAAGTTTATATCTTGTGTTTCCAGGGTACCATATGGCAGTTCAGCAGCACACATTCTGTTCCTAGAGTGCATTGTGTAAAGTATGAAATGTGCAGCAAGATGAAAGAAGAAAATAGTTCATTCTACTACAATAAGATTGTTAGTCCAGAAATACAGCTGAGTCATGGAAACTGAGGATCTGCAGCCTCTAAACACTATTTGAGGATTTATTTCAAGTGCTTTTTGCTTATCTGTTAGATATTAGGGATTTTCTTTCTAAGCTGTTGTGTTTAACTTGATGGTTACTGTGCCAACAAGTTTTAACATCCCCCATGACAGTAAAATCCCTACTCACTATTTTGAAGACAAATATTGACACTGAAAAAGAATGTTCTATATCCAGTGGGATTAAGAAGAGGAGAACAGTTTTGATACTTATGTGGCAGCTGATGCTGCTTAAAACTGATGCCCCTTAAACACATTGAGAAATCTGGGCTGGAAGAGACCTCAGGACATCCAAGAGTAAAGCTTTAAACAGAGCAATCTTCAAACAGGTTGCTCAGGGCCTGGTCCAAACAAGTTATGGGTTTTCTCCAAGAATGGTGAGTCCACAGTGGTGTTAGGAATTTGGAGGTTTCACTGAGTGTTTTTCTGTGCTGTTGCAGAGCTTGGCTGTGCTTTTTGAATTTCAGAAGCCAGGAATATTGCAGTCAGTGCAAGGATGACAAAGAGGCAGCCAAAGTCAAATTGTATTGCAGGATGCAGTGGAGTTCCCTTAGCAGAGATGAGGAGCACAACTGGAGTGCAGCTGTGCTGCAGTTTGACAGAGGAAGCCTAACTCCTTCAGCTTAGACTGAACAGTTAAGTTAATGTAGGTACTGCAGGTTCTTGGAGAAACCTAAATTTTCCTGTACTTTAGAGCTCTTCTATTCTCTGAAATTTCAAGGTTGCTTATGTTTATTTAAGCTGAATTATCATTGGGTAGAAAAAGTTAATTTCTAAATTAAACATCCTAGGAATAAAGTAATTAAAAGAAATCTTAGGTCTTTACTAGTTCTTTCTGAAGTAGCTCTGTTAATCACTTACTGATAATTGTCCAAGGTAACACTTGAGGAGCCTGTGGCAACTTAAACAGTCTGACTTTCAAAAGCATTTGAGGACTTACCAGATGAATGGATAATCTACAAGTGAATTTATAACTGAGTACAAAGGAAGTCTATAAGGAGTCCTCAGGAACTGCCTGGGATTTGAACCAACATGGACAGGTCTGTCTCTCATATGAGGATTATACTTGTGATTGCTTCTGGAGAAGCAGCCCTGCTTCCATCTTCTAAATAAGGGCTGTTCTGGGGGGTGGCCCCCTGCTTGAGATACGTGAGTTCTGTTTTTAGCATCTTCTGTAAAACCCTACTGTTTAAAGAGATTTTAATACAGTAGTGGCTATCAGAGAACCTTATATTAAACAGAGATAGCCCCCTGCTTGTCACATACTTTGAGCAGGTAAGGCCTCCTTTTCATATTGTATTGTAGAAAAAACACGTCTCTGGTTAAACTTGAAATTCTTTTTAGGTTCACAGCTGTTTAAAACATAGAATCTGTGCCTTTGCACAGATTATTAGTCCAGGAAATAGCTGCAGTTCCTCCTTTATGACTTAGTAAGCACTGATCACATTTCAAGATTAATGAAATGTTCAGTACATACTGCAGTTTTGATTCTTCCATTAACTACCTTACCTGTGATGCTATCAGAATTGTTTATTTTCAGGGCATTTTTCAATAAATCATCTTTTATTCTCTGCTAAGTAGAGCATGGGCTATACAAAGCTTTTTCCTTGACACTTCACCTCTTTTTCCATTTTTACCTGGGGAAAAAAATTAGAAACAGCAGCCCAACCAAACCCCAAACAAGAAATCCCTCTCTCTCCTGCTACCAGATATCTGGTCCCTTGCTGCCTTCATAGAATCACAGAATGGTTTGTGTTGCAATGGACATCCAAGATCATCTCATTCCAACCCCCCTTCCTTGGGCAGGGATGCCACCCACTTGATTGATTTTCCAAGGGCCCCATCCAGCCTGCCCTTGGACACTTCAGGGATGGGGCATCCACAGCATCTCTGGCCCACGTGTGCCAGGGCCTCTGAGTAAAGAATTTCTTCCTTACATCTAACCTAAATTTCTTCTTTTCAAATAAAAAACATTCCCTGTGGTTGTATCATTGTCTGTTGTGGTAAAAAGTCCCTCATTAAAAAAACCCTTTAAATACTGATATGGCTGCAGTGAGGTCTCCCTAGACCTGCTTTTTTTCTAGCCTGAACAGCTCAAACTCTCCCAGCCAATCTCCAGAGGAGAGATGCTCTGTGTTACAGCCTGCTGGCGTCAGTGTTTTATGGCTGTGCATTTCTGGTCACTGAAGTGCAGTATTAAGCTGAAAAATTTAATAACCTGTCATTCTTCAGTGCCAACCCGTTGTCTTTGTCTAATTTGATTGTAGGTTTTTTTTGTGGTAAAAAGTCCCTCATTAAAAAAACCCTTTAAATACTGATATGGCTGCAGTGAGGTCTCCCTAGACCTGCTTTTTTTCTAGCCTGAACAGCTCAAACTCTCCCAGCCAATCTCCAGAGGAGAGATGCTCTGTGTTACAGCCTGCTGGCGTCAGTGTTTTATGGCTGTGCATTTCTGGTCACTGAAGTGCAATATTAAGCTGAAAAATTTAATAACCTGTCATTCTTCAGTGCCAACCTTTTGTCTTTGTCTAATTTTATTGTATTTTTTTTTCTTAAATACAGGAACTTAAGTGAGGTTTTCTTGAAAATGTACAATCATTTATTTCCAACAAAACTTATTGCTTCAGTTCATAAAGATTTCCCAGAACTTTCTACATGTAGTTTCTACAGAAAGCTCTGCAGAATGAACTCACTGTAACAGCTGAGGTCACACAGAATAGTCTTGATTTCTGCCTCTCTTTTTGCAAGAGCACTGCAAAGCCCTGCAGGCATGGTCCTCTTTAGTAATTCTTTGTCCCCAAATTCTTTCCAACTTCCAACCCTTGTTCAACATTAAGACAATATCTGAGTAGCTGAAGTTACGACCAGAAACACACAGGGGCAGGTGGGGAGATCTTTGTCAGGAAAGTATCTCCTGAACTTTCAAACTTCTGTGTCCTGGCTTTGCAGCTGATGTAGATTTTTGCCACCCTAGGAAGACCCAGACAATTATTTTTGTTCAGTGCCATCTGCCAAGGATCTGCCCAAAGGTTTTAAAACTTCCCTTGTATTACAATTAAAAAAATTGTAAGTGAACCTCATTAGGAAGGAAAGTAAATGAGGTGCTGACCTGGGCTACGCTGTTTTCTCTGCAAGAAGAAATGCCAGTGTGACCTGCATCCTGTCTGTCCTGTGTCCATTCCTGTGCTGCTTTACAGAGCTCTGCCTGGCTGTGGATGTACTGCACAGTCATGCATTTCCATCAGCCCCTCTGGCTCACCTTCTTGTTCTTACCAGCCCTGATAATGAGGTGGGGTTTTTTAATTAGTGTACCAAAAAGTGCTGCTCTGTCTTACTTGCATTCTGATCAGAAAGTTTACTTCTGCAGTACTAATCTTCAAACATAACAAATCTTAGGCAAAAAGCAGCAGCATGAGGAAAGCAGGGAAGTTGTGGCTCAGAGCAGACTACAAGCTCCTGTAGCTTGATGTCCACCTGATTTCAAAGGGCATTTAGTAACTAGGAAAGCTAAAAATTGATGTGGAGAGATGGAGGATGTGAAATTCATTAGCTCTAGAAAGCACTAAAAAAAGACTGGCCAACACTGGAAAAATCTACCTGAACAGGTGCATGAAGAGCAGTAGCCAGAGTAGATAAGGTGGGCACCAAACCCTTGTGCTTCAGTCTCCAGGGTTCTGAGAGGGGATGACAAGAACCCCCAGCATGTCTGAAGTTGCTGAAAATGCAGAGCTAGCAGGATTCTGACTCCCATCTCCCTCTGTTCTCAGGCAGACACTCAGTGCTGTCTTTGACAAACTTGGGTACACCTTGAGCCAAGCACATTGTAGGCCTTTTGTGTCCCCTACAGACAACAGGAGCTGAAGAATCAGCAGCACTTCATGGGAGAGCTCACTGCCCCTGCTGTCGTGCTCCTGTCAGCAGGTACTGAGGGTCAATAGCTCAGTTTTACACAGAATTCTAATTAATGTTGGGTACCTGTGGGCAATCTAGAGTCTGACTTTCCAGTACAATCCCGTGCTGCTTAATAAATGGGAAAGGTACGAAACTAAAACCAAGAGATGGAAAAATGTTGCTGGTTTTCACTGCAGCAGAACATGTAAAGGAACTCAGAGTCAAGAGAAAGTGATAGGCCAGACTTAAAGCACTTATTTACTGACGTTGGGACTGCTGCCCATAGAGGTTTTTGAGTAACAAGATGTGAGCAACCACAAAAATCTCTTTCTGAATTGTGCCACAGCATTGTGCTCAGGCAGCCCTACCTGTCTGCTTGGAATTGGACTACTGTGTCTGTGTGAGAAAGAGAAGGATACACAGACCATTCTCTGTGCAATCCTTGCAGGTTTTTTTTTTTGTTTGTTTGTTTGTTTGTTTGTTTTATTTGCTTTTATGAACAAACCTTAAAATTCCAGTTCCTTCCAACTTGCCAAGAGGAAAGGAAAATTAGGGTTGTGTCCTTGCATCTTCACCAGGACCCTGAGGGTATGTTGGGTGAGTATGGTTCAGCTGACCCCATTCTTACACACAAGCACTATTGGCTTGCCTGCTTAAACTTTTTCAGACTCACAGCCTTTTTACACCCTGACAATTCAGAGCAAAGGGACTTAATGTCCTTTCCCAGCTTTGCCAGAAGTGCAGAACAAGAGTCCTTTTCTCCCTGTGGATGTAACCAAATGGTCAGTTCCCAGAGAAGCTGTGTGGCAAGGTGGACTGGGTGGCAAATCACTTGCCTTGGCTCTGTGGTTTCTAAACAAAAGATTTCAATAGCAGGAAATTGCC